CATCAAATGATGCGTCACCCCATCCCAGTAGTCCTGCACCAAATGCGTTCCGTTCAGGGAGACGCTGTTCACCACAAAGTGTTCGCCCTGAAGATACTCCTTGCCAGCTTGCGGCTGCGTTTGGTGCAAGTATCACACAAAACACACAAATCTACCATGCAGCATTGGGAGGAGAATACAGTGCCATGTGCATTTTATATACATATATATATATATATGTGTGTGTGTGTGTATGCATGCATGCATGCATGCATGCATGCATGCATGTATGTATGTATATATGTGAATATACATATAGTTCTTTATCTATCTATCGATTTATTTTGTATGTATGTATTTCTTTGATTTATTTGTTTATGGTATATATGTTTGATTTTTGATTCGGGGCATTTCGGGAATGTGTCTGGTCATCGAATTGAGGCCTGCAGGACAACGGCGGTCTTCGGCTGCTGAAAGACTCCCTGACACGGGATTTAGGGTTTAGGGTTTCGGGTTTAGGGTTTCGGGTTTAGGGTTTAGGGTTTAGGGTTTAGGGTTTAGGGTTTAGGGTTTAGGGTTCAGGAACTCACAGGGCACAGGGGAAGACGGTTATAGCTTGGGATGTTCCCCCTTACACTGACAGTCCTTCATAGGGATATAGTACCCCCTAGTATAATTCCTATTGACTGTTAGCATAAGGGGGAACATCCCAAGTTCTCGCCATGGCTACAAAACCAAATCATCTGATGGATATGAATGTGAACCATTTGATGATATGGCTGTGCCATGAGGAAAAACAAAAGAACGACCTGCTCCGTTTGCGACGAGCCTACGTCAGCGCACACATCACTCGTTCCAAGCAACTCGCCACACGGGAGGGGGGGGGGGGGATGAGAACTCACTAAGCTCTCCAAATCCCAGACAAGCGTACTGTATCCCCTTCTTTGGGCTCGTTGGTTTCCTGACCTCGGAGCTAAGGTTCTTCTGCACCGCCGCAGCGAGCTCGTTATCACTGCAGCACCTGGGATTGATCCCGGGCTCAAGCCCCCCTGCACCTCAGAAACAAAACTCGGGAACGTAGGTACAGTACCTGAGATCTCCGACTCGACTTAAGCTCTATAAGGGATGTTGGGAGTTGTGGGACCCCTTCGCAAGCTCGACTGTTGGCCCCTGCCATAGTCCAAGGTAACATAGTCCAAGGTCATCTGACGGCCACGTCTCATAGCAAGCGCTCTGTTTTGGCTGGATTGCAAGAAGCCTCAAGAATGTGAATGAATGAAATCCGAATGATAAAACTCGAAGCACGAAGTCCTAAACAAACTCCCAACCATAGTATGCCTTGGTTGGGATGTTCCCTTCTAAGGGGCGGGGGGGGGAGGGGGGGTACTACAATCCCTATTCAGGACTGTCAGCATAAGGGGGAACATCCCAATGCCTTGAGTGGTTCACCCACCACTAACACAACAAGCACCCCTCAGCTGCCGGGACGTGACTGAGGGCTGACATGGGCTGACCACCACTCTTCGCCTACTATTTGCTTAAGAACCCCTCCCTCCCCCCCCCCCCCCCCAAAAAAAAAAATGATAATAATAATCCAAAATCCCCATATTACCCTTATAAGCAGGTAGAAGGAAGAACATCTCTCGTTCTTTGGGGGGGGGGGGGGGGCTCTTAAGCAAAATAGCAGTAGTAGTAGTAGTAGTAGTAGTAGTAGTAGTAGTAGCAGTAGTAGCAGTAGCAGTAGTAGCAGTAGTAGTAGTAGTAGCAGCAGCAGCAGTAGTAGTAGTAGTAGTAGTAGTAGTAGTTGTTGTTGTTGTTGTTGTTGTTCTTCCAGACGTGCAACATGAGCCAAGCTACAGGAAGAGGCCATCGCTCGCCGCGCTGTTCACCGGCTTGACTATCCTCAGTGGAAGCTTTCAGGGACAACCTCACGAGAGCCTCCTGTTGTGGGTTTTTAAGGTTTAGGGTTTACGGTTCAGGGTTTCAGAACTAGGGTTTAGGGTTTGGCTACCGGCTAGCCACAGACGAAAACACGCAACGGCTCGCCTACTCACTCCTACCCTCCTCACCAAGCTTCTCAACCCTGCGGGGCTTCTGGCTCCCCAAAGAACGGCTGAAACGAGAACCCCCGCAACTCCTGAACCTGGCAGCTGTGGCTCAAGGGATATCCGATGTTCGCACTGCCCGCAAGGGCCTCGGGAACCGAGGACGCCAACATCTGCCGGACGCCCACACCACTGTAGTCAAGGACCGCCTGATATGCGAGTGTAACATCTGGGTGCTTCTTGTGGGAATAGTGAAGGGACAGGCGCCGCAGCTTTCAACAGGGTTTCTACGGTGTTCGGGGCATGGCTGTCACAGAGAGAACGGAACCTGCAGGATTATAATCTTCCAGGGAATAACAGAACAACAGTTGAACAAGACTCGCCTGCTGCATTCGGAACTTGTCCACGCGCAGCTGCGACGTGTTGGCGTCGTTGGCCAAGGGGAGGCCAAGGGTGCCCGCGAGCTGGTCGGCGAAAGGGATCAAGTCCTACTCGGCCAGGTCTCGAAACCATAGTCCCTCTTGGGAGTCTGTGTGTCCCTGTTATTGAACATGGATCACCTTGAGGCATTTGCAAGGGTCTGCTTCCTGCGAAAGCTCCAAAAATGGGGCGTCCCTGTGGCTTTTTGCGGACGCAGCATTCTGATCCTCTGCACCCTATGTCCCAAAACGCTGCACCCTGAGCCATGCTCCTCAAAAGCAGATGGCACGGCAGCCACCAGCTCCACCTCCCGGGCTTCAGGCAGGACATTTGAGGATCTGAGCATGGGGTTTATGGGGGGTTTATGGGGGTTTATAGGGGTTTATGGGGGTTTAAAGGGGTTTATAGGGGTTTCTTGGGGTTTGTAGGGGGTTAATTGGGGTTCAAGGCCCACTGCCCACCCCTGGGGAAGCGCTCCGCACTTTCGCAGCCGTCGTTGCCACGTCGTCCTCGGACGACTCTCACACTGTTTCTGTCTGTTTTCCGGCTCGAAAGCGCCATAAACCCTAAACCCTACATCCTAAACCCTAAACCCTCAATCACCAAGCATGAAAGGTTCTACTGTGCTGCCCAGGCTGCCACACTCTTCCCGGGCGCATCGATGCAGCGGTAGGAGAACACCTCCGAAGGGTCCACAGGATGGACTTGTGATGTGTATATATATATATACAATATATTATATACTATATATTTTATATTATAATAATATATATTATATGGACTTGTTAACAATATATGTTTGTTTACAAGCCTTTGAAAGCCCCAGCGGGATGGACTTGTGAACCATATCATATTTCCTTCTGTTTCAACAGGCAAAACCATTAGGAGGAGACCAAAACAACTAGGAGAAGTCATGTTGTGGGACGCAGGATATTTATGTTCATAGAAGAAAATGCTGACAGTGGCAATGGCTCGATTAGAGCTGCACACCCTGTAATCCGCGACCACATGCTTTCTCCCTTACCCAAGCGCACACACCAGCACACACAGGCGGGGAAGCTGGGTCACCGCTTGACCTCTTGTCTTGCTGAAACCACCCGGCCCCAAGTCCGTCAAACCATCCCAAAACCCTGGCCTTCTCAAGGCAGATCGACCGGCCACCTGAATTCAGCACGTCCTCTACGAACTCGTGGATGCGACGGTCGACGAAGCACGCCCCGGAACCGCTGCCTCTCCGGACCTCCATCCGGGCGGTGTGGGATCCAGGGCGACTTACGCACTGGGCAGGTGGCGGTCATGTCTGGGAGCATGGGCAAGGTCGCTGGAAGCACCCTGCAACGATGGCGAAATTGGTCCTACTTTCCTCCGATATCCAGTTGAAGGCGCATTTCTTGCCCCGTTTTGCTACGAGGGGTCCCGCTTTCCTCCCTCCCTTTTGGCGCCTCGACCGCGTGCCGAAGGCCCAGGCTGTGGAAAGCCAGAAGCATGCCCCGAAGGCCTTGGTTTCCTCCGACTGAGAGAAGTTGGGTTTGCTATCTGGATGTCTCAGTTCTCATTTTAAGAGTTCACTCGGGGCTAAACTCGCTTCTGTCAGTTCATGGGCCTTGCGAACTGCTGGCTCCTCAAATCCGCGGGAACATGCAAGGCAGACCGTAACCTGCATCCTAACAGGCTTGAGGACTTTGCTTTCGCGACAACAGAATGGGGGGGCAAGGGCGTCAACTCTGCCTCCCTTTCCACACATGACGTGCAGGAATTGTCAATCCGAAGTTCGGACCCCCCCCCCATTCTCAACATGCACGCTCTACACAAGCTCTAACTGTCTAACCCTGCTGGCCATGCTGTCCTCTGCCGCCGCGCATGTCCGGTGTCACGAAGACGACTCCTGACATTTGAGAATGCTCGAGTTCCTTCAGTGCATTTTTTAAGGACCGCACAATTGGATGGAGCCCAGACTCCATGCCGAGCATGGAGCTCTAACGCCCGACCTCTGAACCCCCGAAACGAAAGCCCTTCTGTCAACTGCGAGAAATCTGGGCTTTGATCCCCAACGGCCCCGGCCTTTCTTCCGCTCCTCGCACTGCACCGGCAGTGCCCCGGCCCCTGCAGCAGCCGCCGCAGCCAGGCGCCAGGCAGAATGGCGAGGCATGGCCGGCATTGCTGCTGCCAGGATCTGACCGAGGTTTGTGAGAATGCATCGGAGGTTCTGGGTTGCAGAAGCTCTGTGAAAAAGGCCGATACCAGCTGCGATCTTCATTCACGACCAGCTTAGGCAGAAACGATTGCCAGACTGATGGCTCACTTCCGAAGGTTGCAGAACATGAGGCGGTGACCAACAACTGTGCAAAGGGGCAACGAAGCTGCGGCGGAAGTTGCGGATAGTTAATATTCTGGTTTGAGAAAAACTTTTCTATTCCTGCTTGTTGAGGGGAGTTTGGCTGAGAGTTTGGACCTTGGCCCAGACCAGCCTCGGCCTGAAACGTGCCCAACTTTGCCCCAAAACCACCCAGGACCATCTCCCTACAAATTCCAGAGGCCCAGAAGTAAGGCTCGCGCACATCTTCAAGCTTTTCATCCGACTGATCACCGAGAGTACCTTCCTTGGCAAAAAAAGCATTCTGGGTACCATGCCAAGTCCAGCATACCAAAAACCTGCACCACAAACCTGTCACCTTTTTGCTCCATCGTCCAGGCTCCAGGCTGATGGATACAGAAGCTGGGTGCGCAGATCTCCCAAAGGCATGTAAGGCCTGGCACGTGCCAGCATGGCTCCGCAGCACGTCCGATAAAAAAAGTCGTCTTTGCTTCGGGGAACCCCATAAGAAAAAAAACGCTCCAGTCCCAGAAGGCAACTCAAACCCTGAGCCCGGGCCTCTGCGGGAGGAAAAGCCTGCAAGAAACAAGGCCGCCTATGCAGACAATGCCCTCCTGGTTTATCCTTCCTGCATTTTGCTCATGTACACACAGGCAGGCGGTCAGGCTAGGTACTGCATGCACATAGGTAAGTATGTTCTCATCAGCCCCGAACATGCACAAATGACCACCTACCATGATGTATATGGAAAGCTTCGCAGTGCTGGCACATCCCCGCAGCGTCTCTCAGCGCGCTGCATCTGCGAGGACGGAGGTCTCACAATGGTGCCTGCCGTCATGGTAGGAAAGCCGGCTTGCAAAGTGCAGCGGGCCGTAAGTTTACTCGGCCTTCCTGCCAAGAAGGCGTGGTGGGGCGGAGCACGCATCATCATGCCGTGAAACGCAAGCTCACGCGCGGACGGCAAGAAGCGGCCACAAGGGCAGGACATCCAAATTCACCGATTCCGCGCCTTCGCCTCGGTTCCAGAGTCCGGCGACAGCTCGCAGCACCTGGGTGGCAGCGGAGGGAGTTCCCCCGGGAATTTTTACAAATGTTTTTTGTTGCCCCGATTTTGTTCGTATCTCGGTATCTGCCCCTAAACCCGGCACATGAACCCAAGGGCTCTCTTAGCGACCTTGTTGGGTAACCCGAGACCCTACGCCCTGCACCGTCACCTCTGAACCACCTGGGCAGAAGTCTTGGCAGCAGCCAAGCTCGGCGCTGGGGGGGGGCATAGGGGGGGGGGGTTAAGGGGGGGGGGGAGGGGGTAAGACCCTAAACCCTAAACCCCAAAAAAAACAAAAAACACGCAAGGGCACCGAGCTCTTGCCGATGCCGCTGCTCCCGACCACCAGGAGCCGCCGCTGGCGTCCTGAGGAAATGAAAGCCAGTTCAGGGCAGTTGGGGTTTAGGGTTTAGGGTTTAGGGTTTAGGGCTTAGGGCTTAGGGCTTAGGGCTTAGGGCTTAGGGTTTACTCGGCGCTATCTCTGAGTCTGAGCCGGGTTTGGGGTATTTCCCTCTTCAGTTGCCCGGTGGAGCATGGCTAGACGGGTGGCAAGGTTTAGGGTTTAGGGTTTGGGGTTTGGGGTTTGGGGTTTAGGGTTTAGGGTTTAGGGTTTGGGGTTTGGGGTTTGGGGTTTAGGGCACTTCAGAGCCTCTGTGCTTCAGGTGCGAGCTCCTGAAGCTTCAGGGCGGCACTGAAGGACCCCGGCCATCTACGACTCGTAGGGTTCGGAGCCCAAAAACAGAACTGTAAGAGGCCCCCAAACCCTTCAAAGTCTTCAAAGTGGTTCGGTAATCGCCATCCCTTTGGCCTTCTGCAAGGGCCATGTCGAGGTCCTTCAACAGGAGGCGGGAGCCATCCTCCCCAGGGCTTTCGGGTGCAAGGAATGAGGCTCTTTGTTTAAAAGGGCTTGCGTTGCACATTGCGTGCCTAGGTCAAATTGGGGAGAGCGCCCGCTTGCATGTGTAATTCAAGAAGTTTTCCTGCTCGTTCTTCCTGTTGCCCACCACGGTTTGCATGCAATCTGGCGAACATGCCATGCTGGCCCCGCCCTTGAGCTGGGCCACTACTAACTTCTCAAGCCCGTGGGGACTAAAGACATCTAAAAACCAAAACGCCCAAAACCTCCTCCCAGTCCGGCAAATAACAACCTGGCGTCTCACTATGAAGGCTCACGGCCCAGGCACAGCTTGCGCTGATGGCTGCCCGACTCTCTCCTCTCCCTGCTCCACCCCGACGCCCCCCCCTCCGCACCGGGGTGAAGAGCGTCATCTTCTGCATCTGCAGCCCCGACTGCAGCCAGGGCAGCAGGCTCAGGTTTCGGGGCATAAGCTTCAGGAGTTCGGGCCAGGCTTCAAACTTCTTGCGATGGGAAGCGGTGTGTACAGGATTCCTGCCGCAAAACCCTAGGCTTGTGCGTACGCTGAGCATGGCCCCAGCACCAGCAGAAAGGGACTTGGAGGAGAGTCTCCACGTATCCCGAAGGCGCAGGAGAAACTCGGAAAACCCCCGAAGCCCAAACTGAGAAGCCCTCTGAACCCCAGTAGGCGCGCGGCGCCCTCCACAGTAGAGATTCGAGCCTGGGAGAGGGGAGGGGTTCGAGGAAGTTTATGTTGGAGGGCCGGGACACGGAAGCCACAGAAAAATCCCCGCTGCGTAGGACAGTGCGTCTGCGCGTTCGGGCGAGGGGCCGCCTCTGGCTCTTGGGGCTCCGTCAGTGCCTGGCAGGGGAGACAAAGCTGTGTTGATGTGTTCTTGCAGGCCCGTAGGCCTCCTCAATGGTGCCATTTCTTCTGCCTTTTGTATCCTTTTGTTTGCGGGTGGTTAACTTAAGATGCTTTCGGGGAAGGCGGCCTCTTCTCTAGCGGAGCACGCATCCCTGGCTTCCCAGGCTCCACTTGAAAGAACCATGCACACTGCCACATTGGCATCTCTCCAAGTAGCGATACTCCAATATATCCTAAAACCTACCATCCCTTGCTTCCGAAACCTTGTATACTGTAAAGAAACCAAGAGACCCCTATCCTCCAAGCTCAGAACCGTCGGTGAAGGCGGCGATCGCCTCCCAGAAGGCTCCCAAGCGGGAGATCCCGGCCGAGAAACGGGAGATGTCCTGACGGAATCACATTCTGACTTTGACGGTTGTGGTTGTCGTATCTTCACATGATTCTTCCGCATGTGCTACCAGGTGCTTCGGTTCGTCTGGTTCGGGTCGTTTAGGTTGGGGACCCCCGAGGATGCCATCGAACACATGTGCTTCCTCTCGGGTGGCCCCCAACACCCCACCCCAACACCCCCACCGCCCCCGTCCTGTATCCGAGATACGATGATGGTGACAGAGCTGAGGACCTGAAGGCGAAAAGTGAGTTGGGGGAGGCCTAGGTCCGAAGTTCCGAAGGAACTTGGGGAGCATCTGCGCACCTTCAACCCCAGCCCCCAGTGAGCAGGCTCCTGGCCCAAGCTTGCTGAATCCGAGGCCGCACGCCATGCTAAAGGCGAACTGCGCTTGCCCCAGGGTCCCAAAGTCCACCTGTAGCCCAAGCGGCATGCCACACAAAGTTTGAGGGCGCGAGGCACCAGGGATCAGGAAGCGCTGCGGAATGACAGTGGCTGTGATGCCCTTGATTCAGGCCCTTGATTCAAAGCAGAGCCAAACTCCCGAGCTCGCCTGGCCGGAGAAGTACAGACCACCCAGGACGAAGTACGGCACAAGCCGAGCCAAATAGAAGAAAGCCTCCGCGAGCTTCGGGGAGTGAAAGCGCATGGAGTGTAGATCTGCCTTCTTTAGGCCCTCTCACTCTTGGGAGCCTTTTCAGGGGCTGGGGTGCCGTTTCGGGGAAGCGCAGGAAGGGTTCGGCAGAAGGGAGGCCTGCTGGTAGGCATCCAGCCCGGTTTCCCAGATGATCCTGAGCCACTCTGTCTTAGCTTTCACACCCCAAGTTCCCAAGAGAAACATGAACACAGTTAACTCGTTTCAACTTTCGATTCCTTGCCACATGGAGTTTGGTCTCAACATGTGCCCCGTGCTCTTGGAATCTTGAGAAAAGGTTTTGTGGGTATGTGGGCCACAAACCCTTCTAGGGTCTCTTTGCGTCACTTCTAAAGGTCCTTTTTTGGGGGGGGATTACTGTCATAAGGCGGCCCCTCGTATACGGGGTGCCCAAACAGGGACCATAATTTTGAGAACTCACCATTTAGTTTTCAGGGTAGGTTGCCCGTGCGAAGTTTTAGCTGAGGATCAGCTTGTCGTAGTTGGACAAGGCAGCGCCCAGCTTTGCTGTGACCTCTCCACATGCGTCATGGTTCAGGGTTTAGGGTTTATTTTGGCACCCGCATAGCTGGTGGAACCGCTCAGGTTTAGGGTTTAGGTTTTAGGGTTAGGGCACTGCGGCACAGAGTTAATCGCACCTCTGAACCTACGGGATTTGGGATTATTGGTCGCCACCCGTCTAACGACAGCTCCACCGGGCTACTGACATGACAGGTTGAACACAGTTTGTAGCCCACATGAAGGAACTTTGGAGACAGGAGTCTGGTAGTGAGTGACGGAACAGCCTCTCTACACTTTCGGTAGGCCACAGAAGATTTTGTACAAGTTCGCTCAGCCCTGCCCTCAGTACTATCAGTCACAACCGAAGGGCTTTGGGTTTAGGGTTCAAGGTTTAGGCGAAAACATCCCCCGCCTCGCCCTGTTCGCGCTTCTCTCCGCCATAGAATGCAATAGCTTCGGCATTGTCCCGCACATGCACTAAGCCTTCCGTTCACATGCAAGCAGGCTCGCACACGTCATTCATGAACGCCTCCACACCAGCACAGCCTTTTGAGCTTCGACCGCGAAGCTTAGCCTCCTAGCTTGCATGCCCGGGAAGCTGTAGCGAAAGTCCGCTTGCAAGCGGATCTGCTCGTAGTTGAGGCCGACCAGGCGACCTCTTCACCCTAAAGGGTACTGGAAGGAGTTGGACGCGATCCCGCTCTCAGTGTTCGAGTTGGCTAGGCCCTTGCAACTTGCAGTGCTCTCATTCGCTGCATCTCATCTCCAGAACAGAGAACTGCTGACAACCCCTGCAGAAATGCGGTGTAAAGATTCTATTTGTCTGAGGTGCACTGGCTTTTGCGCCACCCAACGTACCAAAAAAAAGAATGCATGGCCCTCACTCAGCCGGCTTTGAGCTTCCAGTCTTTGCAAACGCTGGGCTGCAAGCCCTCCCAGAGACTCCAAAACCCCTGAATTAAGGAATATGCCTTAAATCATATTTGGGTTCCTACTGCAATTTAAGTCATATCCCTTTAACTAAGGGGGTTTTTGGAGTCTCTGTGGGAAATCCGAGCTGCCTCCCAGGAAAACGGCCAAGGAGGTGCCCAGCAGAGCCTTGCCATGCTGTTTCTTTCGGGCGAGCGAGTTTTTCGGGCTGTGAATGGCTTGGGGGATTTAGGGTTTAGGGTTTAGGGTTTAGGGTTTAGGGTATAGGCGGTATAGGGTTTAGGGATTGAGGGTCTCTACTCCACCAGACGTCACTACATCACAACCTCACGGCAACCGACGCAGGCCACTTCCATTGAGGGCGCTGTGTGAAGCCTTGAGTCACCTCTTGGAGGTTCAGGGTTTAGGGTTTAGGGTTTAGGGTTTAGGGTTTAGGGTTTAGGGTTTAGGGTTTAGGGTTTAGGGTTTAGGGTTTAGGGTTTAGGGTTTAGGGTTTAGGGTTATGGACTATAACTGTACCACTTATAAGCCCCTTAAGTCAAAGATCCCACTGCGCAACCTCACATTCAGGCGTCTTCCGGAGTTGTCCGTCCTTGCTCAGGTCTTGCCCGGCCATGGGATGTTTGATCGAGGGAGACTGGAACCCAAGGTCTGTTAGGCACAACATCTCTCAGGTTCGAAGTCGCGACTGTCTGTGCAGCCCGGGCAGCGTACACAGCTAGAGCCCCAGTGAGGGTCTGCGACGTGGTCCAAAGGATTGCGGAGAAGGAGATGAGGTTCAGCACGCTGTCCAGAATGTCCAACCTTTAGGGTTTTTTTTTTGCCACCCGCTTAGCTGACCTCTCGGACACTCTGCAGGGAACTGGCGGTTTGAAGTATGGGGTTTAGGGTTGAGGGTTGAGGGTTTGAGTTTAGGGTTTAGGGCTTCTCTTGGCAGCGGACGCGAGACTGCGGGAAAAAACCGAATCTCGTGGCCGAAAGCAAGAAAGAAAACTCCACCTCAATGCCCGAAGGCGAAAATGCAGCTCAACCCTTGGGACCTCGACCCCAACTTCGTTTGGATTAAGGCTGAGTTTTGAATCGATCGGCAAGAAGTCCAGTGTGACTTTGGTGAAGTAATCAACGTCCTCCGAAATCCTTTGGTCTGGGTTGTCCACGTCGGTGCTCTGCGAATTCCTGGGATGCTCCACTCCAAAGGGACAAGTTGTTGAACGCAGTTGAGCAGACGAGCTTAGCGTTCAGGTCGTTTACCAGCCGCCGAGCAGCATTTGTAGGGTGCAAGGTTCCTTGAGGCCCCCTCGGCTTCCCTAACCAAAGGTTCCCCCCCCCCCTAAGGACCTATAAAGCATTCAGCCACACTGCAGGGGCAACCCTTCAGAATCAAAAACCGACGGCTTAAAGGGGCGAAGGCGTTCAGAGGGGTCTAGGAGGGCTTCGGGGTTTTAGAGGGTTTTAGGGGGGGTTTTACCCTCCAAAGAGGGCCAGATGTGCTGCCGCAGCATCGAGTCAAGCAGGTAAAAGGAGCGGTTTTGCAGATACTTCGCGAGGAACAGCTCGGTCAAAGCCTGCCGCCAGCTCCTGCCTCGAGCCACCCCCCGGTGCAGTCACTACCAGAGCCTTGTGGGTACCGTGTAGAGATAGTTAGGTATGAGTATATTATATTTTGTGGATATACATATACATATACATATACATATGCACATGCATGTACATATGCATATACATATACATATACATACACATATACATATACATATACATATACATATACATATACATATATATATATACATATACATATACATATGCATATACATATATAGATATATGAATGTATATGCTTGTGTGTTCTTATTTGTTTCTTTACATATACATACGGAGCCTCGAGTGGGGTATGTACTGAGAGGCCATATATGGGGACTGTAAGAAAGTGCGTGGAGGCCGACAAGGGAGACATGAGGCGGCATGCGGGTGCTCCGAAAAAGAAATCCCTCCGGCGCCTAGGGTGAGCCGGACATAGCGGTAGCCACCTCGGACGAAACATGTCTGAAACAGGGTTCTACGGTTTGGGGTTCTCGGGGCGGGGCTTCGGGTTTAGGGTTTAGGGTCTTGCTTTAGGGTTTAGCGTGTTGTTGGGGAGGGTTTAGGGTTTAGGGTCCTTCTGGCTTGAATTTAAAGATGTTGGAGCATCAGGCAGATGTCCCAGGGGCTGATCACAGGCACGGCGACCGCCAAGGCAGCACCAAACACACCCAACTGGGCGTAGAACTCCGTAGCGTTCTTCTCAACCTTGCATCCGTCTCGGGAGGCACGTGCAATTGCAACAGGTAGATTGGTCTCTGGGCGCTTAGGGTCCAGGGCTTCTCACGCCTAGTTCGTCTTCGAGCAGTCTTGCAGGCTTCAGTTCGGAATGCTTTTAGCATGGGCAGTGGGTGTGAGAACTGGAACGGCCAATGAGGCGCTCTGTTTACAACTGCGATGCCAGGAGAAGTGGAACACTACATGCCACGAAAGCATTGAAGAGCCTTTGGAAGCACCGGAAAAGGGTGCAATTGCCGTTCATGCAGCAGACGTCGCGCACGGCGTCGTGAAACCCTGTTTCGTTCTGCCTGCCAGCCATCACAAACCAGCAGCCATTAGTGGTCATTGCCGTGGTGGTCGTTTTTGTGCGGTGCCGGTGCCGGTGCCGGTGGTGGTTCTTCTGGTGGTTGCTGGTGGTGCTGGTGGTGGTGATCATCGTCATCGTGGTGGTGCTTGTGGTGGTGGTGGTTGCGCAAGTGGTAGTTGTGGAGGTGGTCGAGGTTCATGTCGGTGTCGTTGTGAAAGGCTGCAGGGATCAAAATGTCCAGAAGCCTGCTGATCAAGATCTGTAAACTTGCGACCTGGCTTTGTAAGACCATGTGCTGCAGGACTGTTGCACGAACATCTTGCGCTCGAAAGGCCGCCACAGAGCGGCGCCAAATCTTGCTTCAGGATACAGTCCGTACCACCTCCATCCGGAAGCCGATACTATGTTGTGGGTTCTGCCATGCCGCCGGTCGCCTTGGAACGGTGTCTCGTGGCAGGATACGTGGGCATGGGGGATTGGGGGAAGACTGGGACTTCGGGTTCAGATCTGAAGGTTTCGTGCACATAAGACTAGCCGAAACAGCCGGAACGAGAAGATCCTTCCGGAACGGCTTCCACTACAGCTCCTTATGACCAAGGGACTTCCATCTGGTCAAAAAGCCACCTATCAAAGACTGCTTCTTCGTAACCCGAGCCCAGTGTCCTTGGCAACCAGGTGCACGATGCACGACGCAACAACCCTTCACTCTGCCACCTTGTCATCGCTGTTTTCCCCAAAGGGTCACTGCAGAAAGCCCACATTTGTGGCCCATTCTGAGGAGCGTAGCATCGGGGTTCCATTCATGAAGAGCTGCGCTCATGATTTGTTGGAACCCACTTTATGGCATGAGCATGCGCGTGTTTTGAACAACACACAGAAGCGGACAGGCGAGGAACGGGGCCCCTGCCTGTGAAATCTGCAGTGCGACTCCGTCGTTGAGCCGAACAGGGACTAGAGATTCAAATTGCGAAAATGAGACATGTACTGTGCTGCGCTACTGCTTTTTGCAGCATTTGCCCATGCATGAATATGGTCTCTTAGCTTGTCCATTTCGGTACAAGCCTGCAGAACATGCACTGAACCTCAGGCGAGAGGACTTCCTCAATCCACCTCAGAGGAAATGCGGGCGCTAGAGGGACAGGCGATCCACAGAAAGCAAAAAGTTGCGGGTGTCCACCAACTTGGCTGGCTCTGCCCTACCATTCGTGGGCACTGCTGACAGCATGGCACCAGACAGGAAGTCTTCCGGCGCCCTCTCCGACGTACACGCGCGCCACATCCGCGAGACTAGAGCCAGCAAGCACGGCAAGCCGATGAGGGCGAAGAAGCCGCCGACCGCTGTGATAATCACCGACAGCAGGGCAAAGATCCGAAAGGCCTGTGCAGAGCCAAACCCAAGCAGCGCCACGCCAAGGAAGGCCGTGGAACATCCCTGCAGCACGTCGAAGCTGCAAGACTCCAGTGAAAGCCGCATACGTTTGTCCCAAGGAGTCCCCGCTGGGACGTTGTGGTCGGCAAAGTGCACTATGTGGCAGCTATAATCCACAGAAAACCCAATGGCCATGACGCAGACGGTGAACGAAATAAGATTGCTTGTGATGCCGCAGAACCACATGAATCCAAACAGAACACAGGTCACCGCCATGACATTACCTACTGCAAGGAAAGCGAGGTGAACAGGCATGGTGACGAGCACTGCCAGGAACACCCCGATGAACGCAAAGCCAGCTGTGCTGAAGGTCTTGTCCTTGATTATGCGGTAGCGTGCTGTCTGCGTCGGGAAGCTTAGGTGATATGGAATGGCATCCAGCTCAGGGAAGCCCTCCCTGACCTGGCTAATGACGTTCGACGCTTGCTCGCTGCGCTTCGCTGCATCCGTCGGCTGCCACAGAAAGACGCGGCAGCGAGCTGCTCGCAAATGCTCTCTTACGCCACCCTTAGCATCCCGGCCACTGGCTGCACCTGGGGCTTTACGATGGGTAGGGGGGGGGGGGGGGGGACCTTATTGGGGTCCTGACTGTAAGGGGATCCTACTATTTGAGGGGTCTATATTTGGGGTCCCCTATTTCGTAAGCCCCCACCGCCCCCACCTGTGGCTGAGTCGTTCAAATATGTGAGTATCGCCGAGTCCACCTCGCACATCGATGCCTCACTGCTCAAGGAGCCAACGGCCCGATCGAGCCAGCAATCCACTGGCAACACTAGGTCCGACCTGTTGTTCAGCGTTGCGATCAACTCGGACATGCGACTGCGGTACGCCGGGTCCAGAGTTCTCGGTGCATCGAAGACAAGACCAAGCTCCATGGGAAGACTGCCAACGAAGGAGCTCTCGACATCTTCGTAGTACGCGTTGACCCTGGACGAGTCGGTCACCAAATACGTGTCTGGCATACCTCGCTCCACCTGCAGGCCGAAGTATATGCCAAGTGCAGTCAACACCAACCAAGTCGACGCCCCTGAGATTTGGAAGGCCAAGCTGTGCTCGACGGCATGGCCAAGCTTTGCTCTCATGATGCCCTTCAGCTTGCGTCCGCCCCCCATGACAAGCCTAGCTTTCGCAGCCAGGCCGCTTCGCGGCTCCTCTCGAACGGTCATCTTGCGTTGGCTCAGCGTGATCATGGCCGGGAACATGACCACCATGCCCACCCAGTTCATGATGAGAACCATCACAAGGCCAATGTTGAACCATAAGAAACTTGGAAGATCCGAGCTGGTGGCAGCGGCAATGGAGAAGGCAGATACGGACGTCAAGGTCGTCGTGGTTGCCGCCCTACCCCCGCGGGGAAGGGCCCTGACCATGACTTCTTCCATGTCCTTCACGTCCGGCCCGACGGCGTTCACCGAGGACACCATCAAGAAAATCACATCGACACCCACCGCCAAGCCCAGAAATGGCACCATGGTGCCCAGGACGCTCACGCCATGCCCCAGGTATCCCAGAAGGCCGAAGCTAGCCAAGCCGGAGAGCCCTGGAATGCAGGTCCCGCCCAAGAGCACTTTGACTTGGGAGTTGCCCGGGATCCTCGTGTCGGTGCCCAACATAAGCACCAGGTACCCGGCCATTGCGGCAATGGTGATCCCAATCAGCGGGACGTGGTCCATGCCAATCAACAGACTCTCCGTGGCAATCGTCGAAGAGCTGAACTGGTTGATTCGGACAACTGCGTTCTCGGGGTAGCCGTTCTCGTTGATGTCTCTTGCGGCCTGCTTCTCGAAGCGAACACCGTCATCAGTGTCCATCAAAGTAAAGGTCGACATTGCCGAGGTGCTGGCAGACAGCCACTCTCTGAGAGACAGCTCGGAGGCACCAGAGCCCGGAAATGGTCGCGACGAAGCAATTAAGAGCGGCAAGCTCGAACGTTGCTGCATGCTCATGGCAGCCACCACCATCTCCACAGCTGCACTTGCAGGGTCGCTCGCATTCCGCTCAAGTGCTTCAAGCTCGGACAGACGGGCTGCAACGTCGTTCCCAAGTAGCGTGATTGTGGCGCTTCCTGCCATGCATGGCGATCCAGGACTGGACCTCTCGCAAACATCATGGAAGCCCAACGGGCGTCCTTGGGCAGATTCGAATCGCGAGCGATCCTGGATCTGCACCTCTGCCATTCGTATCTGTCGCAGCACGGCAGAAGATACGAGGCTGCGTCCATCCAGCGGCTTCGCGATGAAGACGAGGCTCCTCGTGTCCGGGAAAACACTCGTTGCACGCTTGTAGTCCCTATACTCGTCTGTCAGCTTGAAAGTAAAGGTGTCCAAGAAGCCAGTCCTGATGGTAAGGATGCCAAACATGCTCTCCGAACCACCCAGCAGCAACATCCCAGGCAGACATGCCGCGTAGAGTGTCAGTGATGCCACGATGGCGACAACGGGACGTCTTGCAATCCCTCGAGCGAGGCATCTGAAGAAACTCTCCTGGGCATGTCCGACAAGACCAGAGAGCACGGAGAGACTTCGCTCGACTTGCATGGCCCGGCTGGGGCTCAAACGAGATGCGGGCACAGCAGATACGCCCTTTGTAGGCGGTGCCGCCATGGCTGGGGGCAGCATTTCTGGTTGAGGTTCTCTGGCTGTGCTATCGGAGGTCATATCATCCCAAGTGAACTTGGGGACTCTAGGGGTGGGGGGGGGGGGGGCTGTGCTGCAAAGGTCATGTGGCGTCATGTCTCGAGCATGGACCGTGGGTCGAGCTTCCGTCCCTTCGGGCATTGAGGTCAGCAATTCTCAAAGAACCCTTCTGCACCTCAGCTCCGTGCAAGCATCACGTTCAGCTCTGAAGCAAAGACGGCACATCGCGTGGAGATGGCGGATTCCTAGCTGGGGGATGTTTAGGGGCTTTGGGGATGCGAGTGGAAATGCCAGCAAAAGTGATGGACCGCCTAGTGGCCTGCCATCGCTATTCTCGTTCCTGCACCAATACAGTTTTCTGTTCATGGTTTGGGAACCACAGATTAACAAAAGCCTTGAACATCCCGGCACAGAAATGCACTATAGCCATTCCCCTCTAGCGATGTTCAATCGAATCCTGCGAAAGCGGAGAGATCTCCCCAACATTGCTCATTCTGGCCCCAAGGTTCGTCCGACGGCTGGGAGATCAGAGTGCTAAGGGTTGTAAGCAGCCCACAGAACTGATGGACAGAACCACGGGGCCCGGCCATGCGCTTGCTTGAACATGGCTTTCAAAGTCGCCGGTGTCGTTTTCCGCTACTGTAGGATCGAGGCAACATGCACGGGCTCACCTGAGGAGGAGTTGACTGTGGCGGGTCAAGACGTTGGACTCCGGACCCACTACTGGTGTTGCTGGCGCTCTGAAGTTGCGGAGGTCAGGTAAACCTGTCTGCACAGCAGCATCCTGTGGCTTCAATGTCTAAGCGACCTGCGCAGCTGCGCTTGTCGTCATGGTCGTCGTTGTTGTTCTTGTCATGGCCAATGTGAACATGATCGCGCAGAGCATATCACGAGCGATCCTCATGGTCATCGACAGGATCATAGACTTCGCTACAATTGAGCCACAAAAAAAGCTTCCGTGTCCCGCAGTTTCACTGTCAGCAACCAGCCCGGGCGTGCTTCGGGAGCTGAATCTTCTGAGTGGGACCCAACAGCATTGGAGGCATGCAGGCAATTTTGAACATGCCATCTTACACGACTTCAGGGAGCAACTCGTAAGTTGGTAAGAACAGAAGCTCTGAGCCGTTCAAGTGCACCTACGTGCCGAGCCGCTAAAACGTTGTCGATGGCACGGAAGACCTGAGCAAAACAAGTGGCGGCCAACCCTGCAACCAAAAAGCAACATCCCGAACTTCTCCAACTGTCTTCTTGGGAGGCCCTTTTGAAACCGGAACTGAGCTCCCCAAACAGCCATCCTGAAGCCGCCAACATCGTATCCCAGAGGCAACACGACACCCACTGAATAGCGCGATGGTCCCACTGCAAGGGAGACTCTGGGTCCACAGACACCATGCCCAAACCTCCCAAGAAAACTCGGGTTTCTGTGCAGATTTGGCAGGTCGGCACACCACTCCTCCCTGACCCCAAACCATGGGTTCAGTCTTGCGAGGCGCATAACTCAGCAGCACGTTGAGGCCTGTGACACAGAAGAGGAGAAAGAGCAACAGCGCCAGGAGCCACCACCTGAGTCTTCACGACTGGAAGACATCATTCTGCCAGCGTACGCCCCAAACAGGGAGAGACCATGTGGGAGTTTACGAAAATAAGGGACCCAAAAATAGACCCCCAAATAGTAGGATTCCTTTGAAATAAGGAGCCCAAAAACGCACCCCCTAATTTCGTAAACCCCATGTCAGCCCGGGCTCGGGGGCGCGATGCTCGTATCAAATGCAAGGAGGCTGGCGAGACAAGCCATGGTCCGCAAGCAGGCGCGCTGCGCAGCCCTTCTTACCCTTAACATTGGAGCCCCCTGGTGTTGACACAGAGCTTGGGGCATGAAGGATCTTTGTGCATGGCAGCAACACAGAAAGATGTTGTCATTTTTGTTGCTGTCAATGGTTAAGGCAGCAGTTGGGAACATGCCCTTAAGCGCCGTGCTTTGCTGCTCCTTTCATGCTTCTGCCAGTTCGGCCTTGCCGGCTTTTTGCTTGCTGGTTTCTGAAACACTAAGTTACAAAACCGGCACCCGTGCCCGCCCCTCCTCCCTGCGCACTCGTCCGGAGATGTGACAAAAAAAGGACTTCGCAGTGGACTTGCCGCATCCCTGCCCGCGTCTCCTACCTTGAAGTCAAGGATTCTCAAAGTCTGCCCGGGCCTGGTCACTCCTTACAATGCCGGCAAAGCCCTGGACACAAATATCCCCTGTCAGATGGGCCGCACCCCGGATGCCAAGCAACAAAACCCAACAACTTCGCTGAAAGATCGAAAGCCTGCACAACAACCTGAACCCGATCCGTCGATCCCCGACACTGCTCAAAGTACAAAGTGTCACCCACAAATGTCACCAACCTGCCCCCCTAAACCGTAAACCCTAAACCCTAAACCCTGAACCCTAAACCCTGAACCCTAAACCCTGAACCCTAAACCCTAAGCCCACAAGTGGCTGGCGCCAGCGGCCCTGCAGCCGCTCCTGCGCGGCGGCAAAGCTGGCGGAGGCACCTGCTTGGAGGTTCCTGGTACGTATTCACCAATTCTAAGCGTACTGAGAGGGTTTAGGGTTTAGGATTTAGGGTTTAGGGTTTCGGGTACTGTACTGATAGCTTTACTTATGACCATATTGGGGCGCTTAAGGGGCTTGTAAGTGGGCTATATATATATATATATGTGCAGCTTTAATTGGTCAGCAAGTACCACGAACCTCCAAGTGGACGGGTTGCACGACTTTCTTCCGTTCTCGGGGGCAGGAAAGCAAATGGGCTCCGTAGACCCTAGGTGCACCTTGGAACATGGGGGTTTACGAATTAGGGGGTACCTTCTTAGGGGTCCTTATTACAAGGAGATCCTGCTACTTGTAATGGGGGTCTGTTCTCGGGGTCCCCAAGGCCGCCACATCCCTGTGTGCCAGGAGTCCCCACCTAAGACGCCAAGCAGGGCCAGGATCTGCAGCCCCGAGGCCTTGCATTGGGCTTTTTAGGTCCCTTCTGGGCTCGGGCAAGAACTTGGAGGCCGCAGCTCGCCGCTTGCAGCATGTGCAAAGCCATTTCTTGCAGCACCCACGCAGGATCAGTCGAGCGCAACGCTCAAAACAGGCCTACAGGAGCCGCTGGCCACGTCACTACGCTTGCAGGAATAGACACGACGCAACGACAGTGCTTTGAACTCAGCGCCGCCCGCCTCCTGCAAGGTGGCCACGGTGCTAACCAAGCCTGGCGCCCGCGATTTCACGCAGGGGTCACACATGCTAAGAGGTAAACTAAGAGACAACGGGCGCCCTTCAAGACGTGGTCAATCAGGGACACCATGTTAGAAAAAGACCGAAACACCCAAAAACGGCCGCCAACATTCCAAGGACCCAGCAAAAGCACCTCGACGTTTTGCAATATCTAGACGATCCTAGCGATACCAATGTATACTATCAGACAATTCAACACAACAAACCCCAAACTCTAGAACAAGCAACTCTAGAACAAGCAACTCCCCATCCCGGAGGCCTTCGGGCAGTCCAAAAACTGCCTGCACCGCCAGCCCTGCCCCCAGGGCCAGCCAGAACGTAGCCCCGACGACACCTCCAGGGACCCTAGACTAGTGGTAAGAAGCGTCTTTTGAAGCTACGAAGGTGCCGGGCTTTGGGGTTCATTTTGCTCATTTACAGGGTTTAGGGTTCAGGGCTTAGGGTTTAGGGTGGCTCAGTAAGCCACACTTTTTGGCGGCTGCAGCTTCCATGGGGAAGAGGTGTCTAGCTTTGGAGTTCATCTGCATAAAGGCCCGCCAAAACAAACAACATCAAGGAAAAATTGCCCCCAAAGGGAGGACCAGGCGCCCACAAGCGTAGCCAGGATTAGGGCCACGAAGCCGGGCTGCGCATCTGGGGCCCCACGGTCTGCCTTCAGGCTTTGGGGGCTTGTGGAACTCCAGGGGACATGAATTTCTCCTTCTTCTTCTTCTTCTTCTTCTTCTTCTTCTTCTTCTTCTTCCTCTTCTTTTCAGAGTTCCAAGGGCCGGTTTTTCACGGTTTCTGACGACAACCGTCTGGCGAAGCTAGTGGTAGCCTCGGCGGCAACCTCTGCTGCGGCTGTATACTCGCCTTCAACCCATCACGCCCCCACCCCCCACCCGCCACCCTACACCCCAATTTCGGCCCTGGACTCATGCTTCTGGTGGTTCTTGCGATTCTCGGTGGCGCTGTTCCCGGTCCACTCGTGGCACCAGCCCCCCTTAACCGGAAAGCTCGTCATTGAGACGCCACTCATGATGGTGAGTCAGGTCGACTTCTGCTTTAAACCCTCAAACCCCCCCCCCCCGTCCCGACAAAGCCTTCCCAATCTCCACAAAACTACACTTCTCAACTCCAGCGCCCTTCGGCCTCACACTGGTACTGTTCTACTCCTCTTCTGGGGCTTTGCGGGGCAACACGCAGGCATTTACTAGTTGTTCACTGATTTACGTATTGGTTCCGGGCTTTGTTCACTGCTGCAAGTGTTTATGTATGTCACGGTTTGCTTCCCCTTTTTTGTTCTTACGTATGTCCTGCCTTCTTTCCGTTCGTCCGTCCTTCATCTATGCATGCCAATCCTGCTGCACACCGTTCCCAATGTCCTTTCTTTGACAAGTTTAAATTTGTGTATTCTCCAGTTTCTATACTTTGCTCCTGTATGGAAAAGAAAGTGTGCTCTTTGCACATGTGGTCTGTCCGTTCTTCTGCTGGTCTTGAAGTCTTCTGTCGTTCTTTACTTCGATCATCATTGGCCATTGAGTTTTATCGTTACTCCGTTATCTAGTTGTTCATGTTTCCCGGTTGTCATTGACGCCGTTGCTTTTTACTAACGTGTCAGTCAGTTAAGTAGTGGGCAGTTGCCTTTATTTGCTTGCCTTGTCTGTCTCTCGTGGCTTATACACCCATAAAATTGGCCAAGTCGAAAACGATGCCTATTTTACGTCTTTGCTGTTCCCTCTTTGCGTATTGCATTGCACGATGCTTCGTCTGTCTTTATCGTTCTGCATTAGGGTCTTGAGCTTTCTTATTTTCCCTTTCATGTACTTCCTTCCTTGGTTCCATCGTTCTTTCTTCCTTCCCCTTCCTTTCCTTTCCTTTCCTTTCCTTGCCTTGCCTTGCCTTGCCTTGCCTTGCCCTGCCTTCCAGTCTTTCGTTCTTTCTTTCGTTCTTCTGTGCTGTCCCTTCTTCGTAAGGTACCTATTCGTTTCGTTTGTTCTCTCGATATGTGCATTATGTCCTTCGCAGTTGTTTTCGTTCATTGTTTTTGCTTCTTTGTATGTATTTATCCAAGCATTTATACGCTGTTTCTTTATTGCTTCGTGTCTGTTTCGCTATGTATCTATGTATTTCGTTCTTGCTTTCGTCAGTTCATGCTTTCTGTCCAAATTTCCTTCCGTTCTTTCAGTATTTCTTGTTAAGGCCTGCATGGCCTGTGTTCCTTCATGGTGCCGAGTTATGTGTTTTTTGCATTGCATTAGGTACCTCGTTCTTTCTTCTGTGTGCGCTTTTTTGCTTGGGGATGTGTGGGCTTCTCCATTCTTCTTGATGCATTTTGTTCTTTCGTTCTTTCTGGTGTTGGGGCTCTTGGGTTTTTTAGAGTGGGTTTGAGGATTTTGGGGGGGCGCAGGGGTTGATACAAGGATTTGGGGTTGGGTTGGTTTATTGTTGCCATAAAAACTTGGGGGTCTAAGAGTCTGAGGCTTTGGGCATTTCCGGGTGAAGGGTTGCTTGTCGTTCTTGTTTCTCGCTTTTCTATATTTAGTTTCTTAGTTCCTGTCTTGTTTCTTTCTGTCCGTCTTTCTTTCTCCTCTCTCTCCTTTTCCCTATCGAGTCATTTCGACTGGTCCCAAGATTCTTTTCTCAGATTCAGTCAATAAGTCTCTGGTCTGAAGGCTGGGGCATACCGCTTCGGCAAAATCTGACAGGGTTCAGGTTCGCACGTGCCACCGAGAAGCCAAGGGCAAGAAGTAGGGCTGTGCAATCCGCAGAAACTGGTTCCAGAGACGTGTGCTGAATTCGAAACCGTCCTGGCGGCAGGCGCTGTGGAAACCGACACTCAACAGAAGCATGCGAGTGAGTCCTGACGGCCCTGTTCTGACACATTGTCATGCTGCGTGAAGGCCTTTCTTCTGCTTGTTCTCATCACTCTTTACCGGCCGCAGCACAATCTGGTATGTCAGGGAGAGAGCTTGCCTAAGCATGGTTGGTGTGAGTCCAGCAAGCAAAGAATCTGAGTCGTGCAACTGGAAGATTGTCGAACTCCATTGAATCCCTCACCTCATGATCATGACCCCCTCACTGTGATATTGAAACCCCTTGGTATGAGAACTGCACTTTGAGTACACCTAAAAAGTACCTATGTCTGGGGTTGCTTAGGGCGGAGGGAGGGGGCTTCTAGTGGACAGACGGTCCCCCGCACGGCGCCGGCACCGCCACCGCAACGCAGAGGAGGCCAGGAACGCAAGAGACGACTCGGAAAGGGCATTGGTCGCTTTTCGGCCAGCTACTGTAGCCCCCTTGCCTCCACTATATATTGGGCTAACACGGTAGAAACACTGCACAAAGCGGGCCTTTGTGGTTTTTTGTTGAGGGGGAGTGGGGAGATTCACGGGCCAGATGGTTCCGCAGAAGCTAAGTAGCCCAACAAGCCCAAAAACAATGCTGAGGCTTTCGACACAGGGTCACCCTCAAGACTCTTTGCCTATGGCCTATCCTGAACAAGTGCAGGCACCTGGGCATCAAGATTGCCTGGGGACCTTTCACACATGTGTCTGTAACTCAGAACTGGCTGCTGGAACTTGCCGACAACGTGGCCAGCCCCAGCCTGAAGACTCATGGTTGAAGCAGCCACAATGTCCCAACATGTCTCAACATGTCCCACATGTCTCGATACTTCTCGCAACGGCTCCGAGAGGTTTTCACTGCGCATTCGGCCGAGATCCCCACGTTGGCGCTAGCGAGTTCAAGCGCTCAGACGCTTTCAATGTTTCGAGCCCTGTGCTAACATGCGCCGCATAGTTTCCAAGGACGTGTCTGTGTCTTTCGGACACCCGGATCAGAAAACAACCAATCTCTCATCAGCCAAACATGCCCCCTCACCTCCAGTTCAGATTTGGTTTCTTTGGAGGTTTGGTCTGTGTTCGGGCTTGTCGCGAGGAATCTAGAAGAACAAACGAAGAGGAAGGTTTTGCCCGAAAGGCCACAAAAGGTTCAACAAGAGAAGCCCCAAAATACAGAGCATGGAGCCGAGGGGCACTGTGAGGCCGGCCGTGGGTTTGAGGGGGAGCACACGAAGCCCGAGGCCTTGGCGACGCTGGCCTTCTCAGCACATTCAACTGGCCTTCTTCTGGAGAGGTCCAAGGTCTACCCCAAAATGGTGGGACATCTCCACCCTGATCCACCCGAGTCGGAAATCTGCCGGAAGCAAGTCAATCAACACCTGCCCGCCATGCCTCCATAAGCCTCGAAGCCACACCCTGCAGTTCCACAAGAGACCAAAAAAAGGGGCCTTCCTGTGCTTGCAGCCTCCCACTGGCAGCACGGGGTAGGGATGCATGGCTTCGCTCGTTGCTTCAGGGTTCTGACTTATGGGTTTTTGGATGGTTTTTGGGTTGTCTGGCATACGAAGGGACCATGTAATTACCCTTAGAGTCTGGCGGAGCCCTGGTGGCTCTAGGACTGTCTAGCTCGGGCTTGAAGGTTCGTGGAATTCGTGGTGTGCAGTGGGGTTCGAGGCATTTACTTGGGACCATGTTGTTCGAGGCTTTTCCATTGAGGGTTCTTGAGGGGTGCATGGGCTTGGCTGCTGGGTTGCGAAAGGGGGCCCCATCTGTGAACAACGGCTCCCGCCAGGACCAAACATTGCGGTTGGAGATTTAGGTTTCTCGCCTAGCCCTAACCTGCAAGAATAGGTTTTGGATTGGGGTGTCGGGGCTTAATGCTCAGGTACAGTGGCTCTCCTCGCTGTTTGGCAAGAAGTTGCAAACGTTGTTGAAAAGCGACATACCCATCACCCGCTGTATCAACCATGCCTCTCGTAGGCTCCTATACACTACTTCTTGGTATCCTCTTTGCAGCAGGTTTCCTCGCCACCCTACAGACCCTCACCACCGACGGGCGCTGCTTTTGTCACCGCCGCGTGCGCGTGGTATGGCTCCTCAACGGAGCTGCTTCATGGAGCCGACAGCTTTGAGGAGCAATGGTGCCCCCTGTCAAGGTAAACGGCACAGTGCTGGTGGCATCTGAGTTTTGGTGCTTTGGGGTGCAAACATCGCAAACCAGGCTAGCTGCGTATGCGAGGTGTAGTCGCCCTGCTTCTTCAACCCAGGCTTCTCTTATTCCCCGTAAGCCCCAAACCCTCTCGTGAAACAGCTTCGCACTTCGCCGGGATTGCTATTACATAAACCCGAAACCCTTTGCAACAGGCTTGCCACGTCGCCCTAATCCCGAAACCCTCAACCCGGAAGCCTCAACCCACATACGCCTGCTTTGGGGATTCTTGGAGAGCCCCTACTTCTAGCACCGGCCAAGTTCACTGACAAGGGCTCGGATGAAACCGACCGTGAGGTCAGGGCTCCGAAAGCGCTTTTCGGAGGTTTGGGGGGCTTAGGGGTTTAGGGGCTTAGGGCTTAGGGCTTAGGGCTTCTTAGGGCTTCTGGTTTGGGTGGGCTTGGGGCTGAGGGCTTAGGGTTTGGGTGGGCTTGGGGCTTGAGGTCTGAATGATAATCTCGCTTGCGGCGCCCTGGCCCCCTCACGACGCCTACTGGCCTGCTGTAGCTGAACATAGGCCCGCGGCGTCATGAAACACAAGGCCAGGGGCGAAAATTTCAGACGGGTTCAAATGCCCTCGACTCTATACAGCACCCTTCCAACCCGAACAATCCCGAACATCCTACTATCCAGTCATCCCTGTACCTGCCTGGAACAGCCCCCAATGTCCTGCAAGGCTGCCGGCTAAAGACTTGGGTGCAAGCGTTACGCCCCCGCAACAGAAGCAGATGTTCAGACAGCCCTGTCTTCAAACACACCGGATCGCTTGACCCGAAGTCTTTCTGGAACCAAAATGCCATGGATACACATTTTCTGAAAGACCGTCAATTCTTATCACCCCCTCCTCGGCCCAGTGGCCTGTGACCCACTGGCATTCTCGGATTCGTTGCTTCCACTCCCCTCGGCTGCGTGTCGCATCTTCTGTTGCACGACGTACTCCATCGCGGAACCCCCTTCCATGAGCTCCCGTCTTGTTCCGAGCACTTCCCCGGAGCAGTCTGCTTCCAAGCTGTGGCTTGACAAGAACCTGCTCTCCCAACCTCGAGCCTGTCCAGATCGTGTCCGGATCGCCTTTGGCCCCGAAATCCAACATCGCGCGGTCACCTCCATCTTGAATTACAGAATTGCACAGGCGATCCTCTTCACTTCTGGTGCCGATTCAGCTATTCCAGTAGGAGTAGCTGGTGCGCCCCCGTACCTTCTTCCACCCAGGCTTCACCACGCTGCAGTACATTCCTTTCTCTGTGTGAAGTGCGCTTCTCTGGCCGTGCAATGTGCACCACATCCTCTTCGCGGCTTTCTTTTCCCGGTGGAGCCAGCGGAGCCCAGTTTCGGACAAGATTGTGGACTTCTTGATCCTTCTTACTTCTGCGTTTAGCTCGCTTCAGGAGTGTCAGCAGTCACAGGTATCGTGTTCAGGGTCGGCTGGTCGCTGAGGCTGCTCTTCCCTCAAGGCCCAGCATATGTGTGCAAAACCATGCTGAGCATGTATGCAGCGCATCTACCCTAAACCCTAAACCCTAAACCCTAACCCTAAACCCTAAACCCTAAACCCTAGTTAAACCGGTTAGCTAAAGCTAACGCTGAGGCCCTAGGTCTTCGAGCACTGCAGGGCTCAAGCCCCCGGAACTCGCGCCCCTCTGGTGCTTGGCCTGGGCGATGCCTTCACAAAGCAGCTCTGCCCGCGCGGAGACCAGGGTTTAGGGTTTGGGGTTTCGGGTTTAGGGTTTAGGGTTTAGGGTCTAGGGTTTAGGGTAAACCGAAGGAGCACACACCCTCTGCCCCCGCAGGTTGGGGCTTGCACTGCTATACTGTAACGGGGTCAACACTTCAAACCAAAAGCTCAGAATCTCTTGAGAGGAAGATAGTTGCTTTCTCATCAACATCCACACAAGTATCCAATCGTAAGGAAGCAAGCACTCTCCGCGGATAAATGGCAGGATGCTTCGGATTCGGCGACCCGACCCTCCCAGATTGGGCGTGGCAACGTTTGCTGGCACGCCCTTCTAGTGTAGACTCTGGCAGCCCCAAAAGTGGAATCAGGCGTCAGCGGTCAGCCCCACATCTCCTAAGCACTCGCTTGCGGCATTTCAGGCTGAGGTGGGATTTCTCTGCTCAAAAACAAACACAAGCTTCAGGGTAACTGCGAGGCAGCGGACTTTGGGTTAATCAAAGGACCCTAAACCCTAAAACTCTAACCTTAAACTTGGGCTGCTCCCCCTTATACTAACAGTCCCGAATCGTCTATACTCCCCCCCAATTATTGTAGTCCCTATTCAGGACTATTCGTATAAGGGGGGAGCATCCCAACCCTAAACCCTAAAGGGTCGCCCCTTTTGGCCGCCTTTTCTAACCGAAAGCCGAGGAGCCGCAACAATGCGCCCCTCGCTCTTCAGTGCCTCGACTGCGGCGGGGCCGCCCTCGAGGACCTGCAGCGATTGCTTGTGACACCCAGATGGGCCAACCCGGGGCATTCTCTGAAATTTGTACTTTTTGTTGGCTTTGGGGTGCCTAGAGAGCGGCCTGAGTTTGCTTTGCGACTTCCTGCAGCCGGCTCTTGGCACACCTGCCTGTTGGATCGAGTCTACCGCAGCACGCAAACTAACCGATGGACACACAAACGTTGCATTGCCGGGAGGGGCCGTTTTTGTTCTTGGTGTTTTCTTCCATGCTGGTTCAGATGGAACAAGCTTTGAGTGCAGGGCTGGGGTTTAAGGCAGTTAGGGATTATAGTACCCCGTATGGCAAAGTCCTATCAAGGACTGTTGGCATAAGGGGGAACATCCCAAGCAGCACGCCAGGAGTGCTGTTTCATTGGTGTAAGAAGGCAAAGCCATCGGTTTGGTGTCCTGAGTTTGGTGAGGTTAAGGATGGATTGGGTGCGTGGTGAGTTCGAGCGGGGGCTTGTTGCAATGCCGACTTTTGCTAGAAAAGACCACATAATTCAACAGCTAGGAATAACAAGGGCTCAAGCTATTGGATACTGCAGCGGACACACGCCACTTGTTGGGGGAGGAATAAACAGGCGAACGAGCAAACATATACAATCAAACAACCAAACAAAAAGAAACATAACAGAACAAAAATGATGTTGTAACCTAACAGAACTTCAGGTAGCATAGCATAACATAACATAACGTAACGTAACGTAACGTAACGTAACATAACATAACATAACATCACGTAACAACACAGACAAACAATCAATTCAAGCCGACTCGTACGCACAATAGGAAGCGCAAACTTCAGCTTCAGCGGCGAGACTGTAGGGAAACCCAAACTCTACTGTAGGGAAACCCCTACACTAACCAGGGGAAACCCTACATTAAGGGAAACCCTACATTCGGGAAACCTAATTTTCAGGGGAAACCCTACATTAGGGAAACCCTAAGTTCAAGGAAACCCTACAACCCTACATTCGTGGAAACCCCGACATTCGGTGATCGCAGATCACCAACCATGCCTCGCCAAGCGCGGCCAACACGCCGTTGCCCATGGCCTGGAGGCTTTTTGTTCACTATTTCTATTGTTATTGTTCTTGTTATTGTTATAGTTATTGCTATTGTTACTTGCATTATTGTCATTATTATTATTATTGTATTTATATAATACGGAGGGAAGTCCCACCATGTTGGCACTACATGGGGGGTTTCCGACATTAGGGGTTTTATAGGGGAATCCTATGATTTAGGGTCTATTTTAGGGGTCCCCCAATTTCGTAAACCCCTGCATAAGGAGACCTGTCTTGTCTGGGACTGACATAAGCGTGCTCCCTCTGAAGGACCCCAAGAGCGCGACATTGAGATGGCTCCTTCCCTGGAAAGTGCACATGACAAAAAACGGGGCACCCGGTTTTTCACTCCCTGTGACCTGGTCATGGCTGGCGTCCCGGTTTGTGAGTATCATGAGTAGTAGCATTACACATCCAAGGGTGTTCCCCTCCATGCTTTTGGTTGGAAAGGTTGCTGTTTGATGTTTTTTCGGTCGGCTGTGGGGGGGAAGTGTCGACTGGGGAATCGAGGGAGGTGTCTATTGGATCACGCGCGTTGGGAGCCTTGTTGCATAGGGAAGTGCTTGATATGCGGTGGGACACCCTGGCAGAGGCTATGCTGAGGAGCTCTTACTGCGGACCCTAAACCCAAAACCCTAAACCCTTTTGCCTAAACCCCAAACCCTAAACCCTAAACTCTTTGCCAAGAAGGCTTTCGGCTTCATCTCCTGGAGTGGGGCTCAGTGGGTCGAGAAAGCTGCCCTTAGTAGTCCTACATTGGGATGTTCTCCTTGAAAGGGATTATAGTACCCCTATTGGGCCCCTATTAGAATCCCTATGAAGGACTGTTAGTCTAGGTTCTCTCCAAGATCTCCAGGATGCCCCCCGAATGTGTTGGAGGCGTCAAGGGCTCCCGGCGGTGGAGCCGCAGATGAAGACGTAGCCGCCCATGTTCTGCACCCAAGCCTTGACCTTGAGGCCAACTGTGCGAGATAGAAGCTGTGTCATTGGTTCATGGCGGCAGAGACATTCTGTCACCACATAGTTGTGATTCAACTCTTGGATACTCTTTAAGGCTTGAAAGCAAGTCTTTGGGTTTAGGGATAGCAAGCGCGGCCACCCGTGACCATGATGGGTTTGTAAGAAAGACGGAACATTCCCAGCCACAAAACGACGTCAGGACTTGGGAAAACATGGGCTGCCCAAGCCCCCTCGTTGCAGTTGCCGGCTCCCTGCGCTGGGGACCAGGCCGACTCGCCCTGCTTCTTGATTTCATCCTGTGAGGAAGGCTTGGTTCTCACTTCGGTGACGAGGAGCATGAAGCTGTACACTCACAAGCAACAACGGACAAGGCTTTGTGAGTTTCACTGCAAGGCACAGCATCTGTTCCCACAAGCATATCGAAAATGACTTCGCATGCTCCTTTTTGCTGCCGATACGCTGCGAAGTGTGGGGAAAAACGGCCTTTCTCATGCTCATCCTTAAGGCCTCTTCGTGTCAGACAGCCTGGACACCGCCACTTGGGCCAGGCCTTCAGAATGGGAGGCCACAAGATGCCCAAGCTCGCTCGCTTCAGCCGCGCTCACAGCGCTTTCGAGGCTGAGGACATTGGGCAGAACCGTGTTTGCAGACATCTTGTCCAGGATCTCGAAGACGAGCCGCCAGCGCCCGGCCTTCTCACTGTTTTGTTCGGGAACGGCAAGGAGCAATCACACAAAAAGGGGGTTGTAGACATGGAAGTTGTGTGGACATGCCGTAGGAAAACAGGGAAACCAGTCTCAGGTCAGGAAGGGCCCACCCCTTGCATCCCGCAGGCCTTCTGGCACACACTCATAGCGCTGCTGTAGGCGACCTCAAACTCTAAGAACCTTCTGAACCTTCTTCGTTTGCAGCCGGACTGAGAGCAACGCCGGAAGAGGATCCGGACTCCAGCAACGCAAGTTTGCAGAACATATTCAGTCGCAAAGCGCATAAACCCTCTTCCAAACACCTTGAAAGGAAAACCCGGAACCCAACTCCTGAATTCGCATCGCGAAATGCACAGCCGAACCCTACGACAGGGGGCCACGTTCGGCAGGATGATCGACTCCCGCATCTGCATGAGCTCCAGCAACGACAGAAGCTCCAGCGCCCATTCCCAAAGGCCCGCCTGCAAGAGGAGTTCACTTTGCAAAATATTTACATGTACGTATACATAAATATACACAGTACATAATATTGCATTCATCTATGTCCAGTCATATTGTTACGTGTATATGTGAATACGCACCACTCCTCACGAACATTTTGTTGAACTCAACACAACCGACTGGCCTTTTCAAAGGCGCTAATTAGGGCGCTGTAGGTGATGATGCTCGGCTGCACCTCCTGGTCGCACATGCGAGAAAAAAGGTCCATCGCCACTGACCATTGCCCGCAGTTCTCGCACGCACTGATCGCACCATTGTAGCTGAGAACGTCCGGTTGCAGCGACAAAGTAGTCATCTCTCCTAGCAGATGTACGGCCAACAGCCACTGAGCAGTCTTCTCACAAGCGCTGATAGCACTGCTGCAGCCAACCACGTTCGGCCAGATGCTCTGCGGGAACATCTCTGCGAGCAGACCAAGTGCAAGTTGCCATTGCCGCCCCTTTTCACAGGCACTTATGGCACTGCTGAAGCTAATGACATCTGGCGCCACATCTGCCAGAGACATGCTCAACAAAAGCTGGATCGCCTTCTCCCACTGCCCGACTTTCTCAAAAGCAGCCATTGCACTATTGTACGTGATCAGGTCGGGCACAAGCAAAGCCACCCTCATGGCAGACATGACAGCCAGGCAAGCAGGCCACTGTTCCGCATTACGGCACACGCTCATGGCAGCATTATGGGTGATTGTGTCAGGCAGCAAGGTGGTGCATCTCATGTCCCCCATTAACTGACACGCCATCCTCCACTGCCCATCACGCGTACCCGTATTGATGGCAGCATTGTAAGTAAACTCGTTGGACTGCACCTGAGACCCGACCATCTCCTCCAGCAGCACCGATGCAACTCGCCAGCATCCTTGCTCTTGGCAAGCATCCAGCACGCTGGTGGCAAGTATGACGTTCGGGAGCACGGTCGCAAGGGTCATGGTCGCCACAAGGCTGAGTGCAGCCCTCCACTGGCGACTGGCCGCACATGCTTTCACGCTGCTGCTGAAGCTAATCACGGTTGCATCATCACGGCGGCCAGCGATGCCGGCCAGGCAAGCGGCTGCAATCCTCCAGCCGTCGAGCAGGTTGCAGGCAGGGATCGCGGAATTGAGGCTGATGACATCTGGCAGCAGCAGCCTCATGAGAAGAACGGTCGAGAATGAACAACAAATGCCGCGAAGTCTAATCTCTGCTTGTTATCCTCCTGAGGGCTGTCGTCTGGTGCTAGGCTGCTAGAGGTCGAGAACACATGCTTCGCGCAAAGAAATGACGTCTAGCAGTAGCCTGGGCCTGAAGACTCACTCAGCGTACTTTGCTCTGGCGCTGTTTGTGCACGGTCCTCGTGTCGAACTACGAACAACTTGCAACTTGCTTTGTGGCAAGACGACCTCACAAGACCTCACTTTGCCCGGCATCAAACCTTGACCCTTGCCACTGCGTCGCTACTAAACAAAAAAACCAATACCAGTATGATACAGTATGTCAGAGACGCCCAAACAGACACACACACACACACACACACACACACACAGAGACAGAGAGACACACAAAAAAAAAGAAAAAGTGCCAAACACAGACGGGACGAAGTGCTGTTGGCCCATGCTGCCCAGCAGGGCCAGGGTCAGGCTCCACTGCTCGCACCGCTGGCACACAGCAAGCAGGCTGTTGCAGCCGATGACGTCCAAGCAACGGCATTCCCGCAGCGAGCCTAGAACCCCGAGCCCCGTGGCCCAGCGACCGGCACGGCCGCCGGCGTGGATGGCTTTCGTGTAGGCGATGACGTCTGCGCTGCCACTGCCACGCCCACTTTCCCGTGACAGCTCCACGAATGCTCGCACCCATGACCTGCGCGTCTCGATCGGAGCCATCCATGGCAAAGGGATCACACTGGGACCCGAGAACCCTTCCGCATGTGCCCATCGCCGGTGCAAGGGACACACGCAGGCCCACCTCGGCACGAAGAACGAAACAGCTTTGCGGCATAAACAAGAAGTGCGAGCATGTACCGACAACAACACAGCCCACCTCACGGCCTGTGGATGAAGGCGAAAAGAAACGTTAGGAAGAATGGACCGGCCAGAGGAGGTCTCAATTGAACAATGGGACAGGCCACCCTTTCTCCCGCAAGCTACTTGGCTCTGGCTAGCTTGGCCATCGCCATGTCAGCCATTGAAGCAGAGTGGGAAGCAAGGCCGCGTCCGCGCTCACGTGCATCTGCTGCACGCACTATGCTATCCAGGCTGAGCACATCAGGTGGCACAGCGGTCCGGCGCATGTGTTGTAGAAGCCGGAAGACGTGCAGCCAGCGGCTGGCCCTCTGACACATAGAGAGGGCACCATTGAGGCACACGGTGTTTGGGGCCACAGCTTGTAGTCCCATGGCCGTGGTCAAGCTCAAGGACAAGGTCCAAGCCTTCCAGGAGCTCCCGTTCCTCTCGTTTTCTGCGGCGCCCAAGGCGCTGCTGTAAGCGACGGCGTCCAACTCCACACTTAAGCGTCTGGCGGCACTGAGAAGCTGGAGCACCAAGGTCCATTTGCCGGGCTTTCGGCAGGCCTCAATGGCAGAATTGAAGCTGATAGTGCCGGGGAGAACCTCCAGTCTGGCCATTCTCCAGAGCAAGTGCAGTGCAGCTCTCCACTGAGAGGCCTGGGCGCACACGCTGAGGAGGCTGCCGCAGCTCACCTCGTTAGGCAGGACCCTCCTTTCCAGCATGGCACTCAGGAGACCAAACCCAATCAGCCATCCAGACGTGCTCCTGTCACAGGCAACCAGGGCCGCAAGCACAGCACTGTAGGTCACGACATTGGGGGCGTCCTTTCGTGCTGATATAGAGCTGAGGAGGCTTAAGGCAACGATCCACCGATCAGAGCTCGCATTGCTCGCACCGCTTGCGCATGCGCTGACCGCCGCGTTGCAGGTGACCAGATTCGGCCGCAGCCCTCTGAAGTGGAGGGCAGACAGCAAGGAGAGCGAAAGGTGCCAGCGGTGGCCCTTGTGGCAGGCACTCACAAGGCCTCCAAAGCTGATTTCATTGGGCCGTACCTTGGCTTCATCCATGGCTTCCAACAAGGCAAGAGCGCATGACCACTGCCCCACCTTCTCACAGGCGGAGATGGCGCTGCTGTAGGACACAACGTCAGGCGCCACAGCCTTGTCGGACATGGAGCTGAGGAGCTTCAGGGCGACTTGCCAGTCACCCTCGTAGGCACATGCGCTGAGGGCACTGTTGAGGCTGACCACGTCAGGCAAGAGATGCTCTTCTGCCATGGCCGCAAGAAGGGCCAGGGCTGAGCACCAGCCCTCCACCTCGGACGTTCCTGCAAGGATGCTGTTGTAGGTGACCACATCGGCTGGGATTGACGAAAGCTGCATGGCGGCCAGGAGGCTCCAAGCCAGGCCCCAGGTCGAAACCAGCTGTCCTTTGAGCCTTTTGAGCCTGGAAGCACTGGCAGAGATGGCCGCGTTGTAGACGACGGTGTTGGCCTCGCCCGTGTTGCTCGCGACCGCCAAGACGCTCAGGGCCCAAGGCCAGGCATCCCTGCAGGCGCTGATGCAGGAGCTGCAGGTGATCATGTTGGGAGAAATCCCCAAGTCAGCTAAGTGCTCCAAGAGGACAAAAGCCCGAGGCCAATGCAGAACCTTCTCGCACGAGCTGACCGCGCTGACCGCGCTGCTGCAGCTGATGATGTTCGGAGTCACCATGGCCCAAGCCATGCCTCTCAGCAAAGCAAGCACCCGTGGCCACGTCGCGGCTTTCGTGCAGCTGCTGATGACGCTGTTGTGGCTGACCGTGTCTGGAAGCCATCGCATCCGGCGAATGGTAGCCAACAGCTGCAGCGCAATCGACCACTTCCCAGCCCTGTCGCCTGCACTGATGGCGGTGTTGCAGGCCACAAGGTCTGCGAAGAGCCTCAGGCATGGCAGGATGCTGAATATCTGCAGTGCTGCCTGCCAGCGGGTGCACCTGCCAGAGCTGGCCATGGCATTGGTGCAGCTGATCACATCCACTGAACTCACAGCCGGCACTCCGGCACCTGGCAACGCTGGCGCACCCATCCATCTCATACATCCTTCCAGACGCGAAGGGCGACTGTGAAGCCTTCGCCATGCACCTGCTCAAGCAAACGGCACCTGCCCTTCCCGGCTCGAGCAGCTGTGGACTTCACCACCACAGGCACCACACGGATTCGAGGGGTACAAGAGCTGTTAGTTCGAAATCCTAAAGCGCCTAGAGCAAACATATTCCCCTGGAGCAGCCGTAGCACCCAAGGGCCCAAAAACACTCCGAAAATCTAAGAAGGCTCTGGCAAGCTGGGCAAGTCTGGCGAGCATCACAACTTCTCGGCAAGCACCCGTTTCCTGAACGTAGGCCTTCTCCTTGCCCTCTCCCGGCCGCCTCAGTTCAGGGATGTTCTTGCCACACCCAGGAAAAATCTCCAAAGCCGGCCGAAAAGGCATCGTTCTTGGATCCTTCCTTTGAATGGGCATAAACCCTTTTCCCTAAACCCTAAAACCTAACCCCTACCTAAACCTTAAACCGTGTCCTATCGTGTCCTACTTCTGAGCTTGGGCCAGGCGAGCCAGGCGACGAGAAGGCAGTGAAGAGGCTGGCGAGCGGCCGCTTTGGGCCGACCTGCTGGTGGATTTCTTCCTATCCTTATGGAGGGTTTAGGGGTTAGGGTTTCAAAAGAAGGGTTCAGGGTTTAGGGTTCAGGATCCAGGGTGTAGGGTTGAGGGTTTAGGGCTTGGGGGTTTAGGGTTTAGGGTTTAGGGTTTCGGGTTTAAGGTTAGAAAAAAAAGTTTAGGGTTTAGGGCTACTACGATGACGCTTCTTGCTAGTAGCAGTACTGTGTGCTCTCCACCTAGAACGGGCGGGCAGTAGCAGCTGCGAAATGACCTCCAGGCTTCTTCTTGCTCCAGGAGGGCCCACGACACCGGACCGTGAAACAAGAAAACTGCAGGCCTCTACTCAAAGCCAACTCTCCAAGCTTCGAACCACACCACCTTCACCCCAAACCCCAAACCCCCAAACCCCAAAACCCCAAACCCCCAAACCCCTAAACCCCAAAACCCCAAAACCCCAAACCCCAAAACCCCAAAACCCCAAACCCCAAACCCTAAACCCCAAACCCCAAACCCCAAACCCCAAAACCCCAAAACCCCAAACCCCAAAACCCCCAAACCCCAAACCCCAAACCCTAAACCCCAAACCCCAAACCCTAAACCCTAAACCCCCCCCCCCAGCGCGCCTGCATCCGGGCCAAGGCCGCGCAGCCCCCTCCGAGCTTCACCGCGGCGCTCATCTCATCCTTGTAAAGCCAGTCCTGGCTCTCACTTGAGGGTTTAGGGTTTAGGATTCAGGGTTTAGGGGTTTAGGGTGTAGGGGATTAGGGTTTAGGGTTCAGGGTTCAGGGTTTAGGGTTTAGGGTTTAGGATTCAGGGTTTAGGGGTTTAGGGTTCAGTTTAGGGTTTAGGGTTTGGGGCTCTATCTCGGCTGCACATGGGCTGTGCCCTGCGACACGGTCTTCGGGTTTGAGGGCGCAAGGGCATTGGCAGAGTCTGGCAGTTGCAGCGACTGAGCTGCTAAGGCTACGGAGTCTAGACTCTCGACTGCCAGTGCTAACTTGCATGCCTGTATCACCGTGCTAGGCACGAAGCCCCTGCTACCAACAGTGCCTCGACATGGCTTCTCTGCGCTGTGCATCCCAATCTCCGTCATGCTTGCCAGGCACAAGGCGACAACACCCAACTGATGCCAACAAGCTCCTGATTGGGATGACGGCATCCGAAGAAGAGAACCGCCTCGCTTCCGAGTTTCCAAGAAGCTTCTCTCAAAGACTGAGAGATCAGATCTGCTTGAACGGTTTAGGGTTTGGGGCTGGGCGCTTAGGAGCTCAGAGTTTTGCTATATGGCATGAACTGATGACACCTGGCTCGTGCCTGACACCTCCCGAAAGGATCACCAAAACGGGCATCTGTAACGCTTTCGCATACTCTCCCAGCCGGGCCGCCGGGGCAACCTGTGGGCCCTTCCGCAGCTCGTCCCAGAAGCCACGAAAGGGTGCCACGCCCGCGCCGGCTCCCACCATGACCTGGGTTTAGGGTTTAGGACTTTACCGAACAGCGCCTGGGACGGGGAGTGGGGGGGCATGAAGCCCTCACATCTCTAAGCCCTCTAAGCCCTCCTGCAAGACACTTCCCTGGCGAGCGTCGATTGGGACATCTTTGCTCGGCAAGGTGAGCGAGGACGGGTGATATTTTGCGAGAACGGCGTCGCCTCACCAACGTGCCGTTTCTGGGACAGGTATCGGCTTGGCTCTCAACCTGTGACGCCTTTGTACCCGAAAACAAAGGGGGCAATCAGCGGCTATCACAAAACTGTCACTTCGAACATCCCCGCCCCTGTCCCTAGAACGCAAGCGAACGCAAGTGCGAGGAAATACTAAGTTGCAGTGTTGGGAAGTGAAAAGTTTGCTGCTGTTCACCACGCTGAACAAACTTTGAGTGCGGGGTTCAGGCTGAAGGGGCTGTCTATCGCTTGCGGTGGAAGATGATATGGCAGAGCATTGTGTTTCTTAGGGTTTGGCCATTCCGACTGCTGGACCAGTGAGATGGGGCTTGCGCGGCCCATTGCAGCGCCATGGGCGCCACAAGAGAATTCTCTAAAAGCCCCCTTCATCTGCAAAAGTCTGGAGTCCCTCATATTATGAGTATTGGTTCTAGTTCTTTCGGCACTCTGTCTTCGTTTCAAAACGATGCGCACACACACACACACAAAACGAGAAAATAACACGCGCACAACACGTGATGCTTCTCACCTTTGCAAGCTCGATGCTACCACACCTGCTACCATGGCCATCAATGTTCGCCTCCCCTCTGGCTCTTGACGCACACAAGACCTTCTGACATGGCCCAGAAGTCCCCAAAGCCGCACCCCCCCAACGAATCCCAAAGCCTTGAGAACCCGTGAGGACCGCCTTCCTTGAGGTCTGCCGAGATGTAGCGCGAGCACATGCCCAAAAACCGCGGACGGGCCTCAGGGCTTCGGCTAGAGTCTAGAGGCCAAGAAGTGCGAACTTGGATGGAAGCTTTAGTCGCCGTTCTCCAAGAAAACAGAAGCAAGACCTAGTTTGTTCACTGGCTGGTGCCTCACGCGCCGCTGCAACTGCTGTGGGCGGCAGGGCACCGGCAGCAACCAGCTTCCTTGCTTCGAGCAGCTTGCAAAGCTCACATCCCACCCATCCCGAAGCGCTTCAGGGCTTCCACAAGTCCTGATACTGATACGCTCCTCAAAGACATGACAGGATCTCTACCACAACAGGAGAAAGACATGTTGTGGGAAAACAGGCCCGTACGGAGCATGAAGCCTACCAGAGCCCCGAAGCTGGCAACCTTACCTCCCGCCTTTTTTTGGTGGATTCCTGGATCCGATTCGTGGCGGGTCACTCTGCCATGGACTCTAGGCTTTCGGTCTCGCGGGTCGTCAGACTCACCTGCTGCCAGAGGCCGAAGAGAGAAAATAGGGACAAGCGACTGGCGGCGAAATTACACGTGAGACACCCCAAAAAATCGCACCCCAAGGCTACGGTTTCAGCCTCTTAATAACATTCTAAGCGCGGAAACCGCAGCCTCCCCCCAAAAAAGCTCGCATCCAATTCTTCAGTCGGGCTGCACACAAAGAGATCCGCTTGGCTGCCATGAGAGGAGAGGATGCAATGGTGAACTCACCTGGGCTTTCGCTAATTAGGAGCCATCTGGGGGAGCAATCTAGGAGCAAAGGCGCGAGATCAGCGGGTTTTGAGAACCCACGCGTCGACTCGAACTCCTAACTGAGCCAGCAAGCGGGCGCGCTGTCGAGGGCAGTTCTGGAGGAAGGTGACAGGGTCCAAGCCTCCTGCGCGATTGGCGCCACCAATAACATGATTGTTGGTTCGGTCTGATGGACTCAGTTGGCTAGCCTTGCAGGTCCATAATAAGACTCTGCCACAAGCAAGGGCTACATGCTGCTTGTTTATGTGTGCACGGTGTGCAGTCTTTAGAAACGCAGCCCCAAGCTGAAGCAAACCCATCAGAATCCTAATCTCTTTGCTCTCTGCTTCTTCGCGGTCGGATGCCAGAAGCTCTGTGAAACCTCCCAGTCTTTCAAGGCTCCTTCAACCGAGCCTCCTGCCGCGCCTGAAAACAAACCCCAAACCCCAGGCCCTGGCACCAAAGCGGTCCTTTCACGCCCAGAAGCGCCCAGAACCTAAGGCTTTTCGACATTTCTTCGGGGCGAACCGCTGGGACTGTCGGATTTCGGGCTACTCAACTTTGTTGAAAGCGGTATCCCAACTGCAGCCGAGGGAGCTCATGCATGCGGCAGCAAACTGCCTCAGACTGCAGCGCCTTCAGCGCATCAGCATCTGACAGAAGCTTGCCTGGTCAAAATTGGACCGGTAAGAGGGGTCGAACCGAAGAGCGCTCTCGTCCGAAGACCGGTGTGAGATGTTGTTGCTTCTCTCTTTTCAATGCGTTTTGCTGCCATGAAGGAACCCACGCCGCTGACGACAACGAGCCTCTGTTCGGACCAGGAAGTTGAGAAGTGCGCTAGAGCAGCGTGCCCATAAAATCAAAAACCCCTTTACAAGTCTACCATGCTGACCCACAAGTGCACCCCTCACAACCAGAACCGCAACGCTCCAACTCCGCCCCACCCCCCCGCCCCCCCCCCCCGGGCCCCCCCGCGGGCCTACAAATTCCTTTGAGGGTTCATCCAGCTTCTCCTGGAGGGCCGTGAGCCTCAAGAGTTGTCTTGGGGGCTTCTTTCATGGGCGTGTCAGCACATGCTGGCAAAAAAACGAAAAGCTGGAGGGACAGAAAAGCTTTTGGCGGCCTGGCAGGGAGTGTCAACACTCACCGCTCTGAAGTCCTAAAGTAGGGCTTGCACATGCCTGGACCATGAACTCAGGAAAGGCTAGGTGCTCTTCGAATGTAACAAGGTGGGTCCAACAAACCTTTCACCAACCAGCAAGATCAGACTCTGCCGCCAACGTCTTCCGGCTCAAGATTTCAATCCCCATTGAACCCTCAAACAAGCAATGCCTCCGCACTACCCGTGCCAAACAAAGCAAGAACCCACACAGATCCCCGCATCGTTTGGAAATCAACGAAGCTAGGCAGCAGCTTCTTCGTGGGCGCTTTTGCAAGGTCGCAGTATAGGGACAATGCGTCACCCAGGGTGCAGGGCGTCGGAAAGGGCTTCTTGACCTTGAAGCCTCCAGTCGGGCACTGATTTCGGGATTTCTGGCTTTGGGGCCTCTAGGGCGTTGCATTTGGGTTCTGTTGGGTTCTTTTGGGTTCATGGAGGGCTTAGAGATGTCGCGCAGATGTATGATGCGTCTAGGCCACGGACCTTGCCGATGTCATGAACACATGTTAAATGCTTCTTGATGGAAAGGCTCATGCTGCACAAGCACGCCGCAGCTGAACCCCTACTTCCTTGAGCAGGGAAGGTGCAGCACCAACCGCTGCAAACCCCCCATGAGGTTTTCAGGCCCCTCATGCCCCAACCCCCTCATGCCCCAACTCCAAATCCTGCGACGGAGGTGCCCCTGAAGAAGGAGTCCTTAATGTGGGAACCAAGTGGCCACTGCCCTCCTTTGCTTTGACGGTGACCTGCTTGGCAAGGTCCCCCTCGGAGAGGCCCAGGAGCTTCAGCACTGCTGAGACATCCGACCTCATCTCCGTGTTTCTACCACCCCTCCCTGTGCAGATTACTGACTGATCGAAGGAAAAAGATGGTGTGGGGAGGCCACTTTCACACTTCCAACGAGCACTAGGCTCTGAAGAGAAAGGATGGGGCCTGGAAAGTGCGGCACTGTGATCTCGGCAATACTCAGAAACAGCTCTCAACTCGCGTAGCAGTGCCTGCACATCGCCGAGAGGCGAGTCGATGAATGGCCGTGGGGCAAGAGCAAATTCAGCAGTACGTGAACAAGACATACCATGGAACAAGAGTGATGCCTGACACGGTGAGGCGCCATAGATCACGGGCCCTCCTGCATTCTCCCTTCAAAAAATGTGCCATCTCAAAGGAAGAGCCAGCACATTAGGGCATGAGCCACAACTAAAGCAGGCCTGAATCCACTACAGTCATGCTGTTTTTATGATTCAGAACTTGACTGACGTGTCATCGAACCTGTGCTGTTGCGATGTTGTAGACAAACGTTCCTTCAAGCTGATGGCACTAGTAGTTTCTCTTAGTTCTCAATGCTTCGCGATCAACTAGTACAGGCGCCCCTCCAACCCAACCCAGACGTCAGTAGACCTTTTTGCCTCCAACACGAAAGCACCCCTCGGGATTTGAAAACACCCTCAACCTCCTAGAATGTCGCAAGAACCGAAGCCCGGATTTCTTCTTTGATTCTTTGCAGCCTGCCCACGGGGCGTTGCGCGGAAGCAAAGCCAAAGTTCCGCCTGCCGTGTACTTCTCGAGCCCGCCGGATGCCTCGCTGTTTTGAGTTACTATGCTACTACAATCTTTTTGACTAGTGCTCTTCTTTCTTGCTCTCCGTATATTTCTACTACTCTCACCTACTATCACCTGCGATCACCTCTATCACTTAACCCTAAACCCTAAAGCCTAAACCCTAAACCTTAAACCCTTAGCCCTAAACCCTAAACTACTATTCCGAGCAGAGTGCCTCGAGTTCCACCTCCATAGTTGAGAGGCCATCCTCCAAGCTGCGGTGCTGCCGAAGCTCGCGCACCTTGAGAGTCATGCCCGGGTGGATACTTTCGAGAGTTGAAGAGTTTAGGGTTTAGGGTTTCGGGTTTAGGGTTAGGGTGATGTCCAGGCAAGAAATCCTTTTAAACAGCAGGTCTTGCGAGAAGCTTTCAATCATGTCTCTCACAGGCTGGCACGCAGGAGCCCCCTCTCCCCGTCAGCAAAAGCCCCCCAATGGTTACCCACACAACTCCTTGTTGAACCGGCGCAAGGCTGAATCCGCAATCCCAGCCCCCAGCCTCGGCTGCAAACCTGGGCACCCTGAAGTTGGCCCCTAAACCCTAAACCCTAAACCCCTAAACCCCAAAAAAGGAAAAAAAAGAAAAAAAGAGGAGCACCCTGCCTTGGCAACCGTGCACCTCTCAGCTTCGAAGTAGAAACGGGCAGCCACTTCGGAAGGTTCCTCACTGACGGCGAAGACTCCACAGCAGCACAATTTGGGGCTTAGGGTTTGGTTAGGGTCTGGGGTTTAGGGTCTAGGGTTTAGGGTTTAAGGTATAGGGGTTAGGGCTGCCTTACAGCAAAGCTAGGCAAAGATTGGTGAAGCTGCCAACCGCAATCAACAACTTGTGCCTGAATGCCGCAACACAAACCACTCTTGAAGCAAACGTAATGGACGGCTTCCCAGGGGCTGCATCCGGTTCGGGCGCGAGCTCAGCAGTCGAGCGCACGAGGGACAGCACCGCGGTGCCCAGGGGCTGCCACACAGGTGGGCTTGGGGTTGAGTTCTGTCGGTTCTTCCTCCGCTCTTCTGAACAAAACGACCCTGTTCTCATTTGATCTCGAAAGCTTACAGGTTCATGTGTGACCATGTCTCATGGTCAGTCGCTTGCTCGATTTTTTTTCTGCCTTCTGCGTCGTGCCTTCTCTGCTGATGCAGACGTTGGTCGGGACTCGCCCAAGGAGACACAGCGGCCTGCACAACAGCTCCCACAAAAACCAAGAATGATAAAGCTAGCAACAACGTACGCCGAACGCCCAAAAACAATGGGAATTTGATGGAATCATCTGGGGTTTGACTCTCCAAGGCGGTACGCTTGGGATTGGGCAATTACAATCCTTGGACATTCGGAAATACTCTGCCAGATTCTTTCTGGGATTCTCGGGAAAATGGGTGGGCACCCTCTGGGGAATTCTTTCTGGGATTCCTTCGGGCCGAGCGGCCTAGGGAGATACTCCGAACCCTTGGCAACATGGAAAGACTCAAGCTGCGCATGAGCTGAGCTCCACCATCTGGCCAGCACAAACGTGGCAAACATGATGTGAGCTGCGCATTCTTGGCGCACCCCCCCCCCCCCACCCACGGATTTCCCCCACCCCCCCCCTCACCCCACACACCCCTTTCCTCAACCCTCGAGCCCTGAACCCCTTCTGCATCTGCCCTCTTCTTTGCATCGGGATCCGCCCTAAAAACCATAAACCCCCAAATACACCCTGCCGGACCTACGACCGCACCGGAACCATGGCATAAGTACGCACTTCCACAGTCAGGCACCCCGGAAACTCAGCTTGCGTGATCTGATACAATGACAACACAATGTGACAATGGGCCTTCTTTCTTTACCTCTGCAACGGCAGTCTTCACATGCTCCCATAAACCACCCTCTCTCCATGTCTCGAAGTCGGACACGATATCTTGACCTTGGTTTGGGCACATGGACTGCGTGCTGCCATGCCATGCCTGATGGTTCAACCTTGTTGCGTGCTGGTGGCTGTCATCTCCCACTCCGCGCTTGTAGATGCGAATTCCTCCCATTCGCTCCTTCGGCATGTGGCAGGGAACCAAAAGCGCATCAAAACCAATCTGGTAAATCAAAGCCGAAGTAATGCAAGCGAGCATCCAAACTTTGGTCGGTCAACTGGCCCATGTTGTTGTAGCGCGAATAGTTCATGTCCCCAAGACCCATCACCTTCTTGCAAGGCAGGGCCAGTGCTCAGCCGTTCCTCTCAAACCTGCAGCTAAGCTGCGGTGAACCGTTGGCCTTTGAGTGCACCATCGTTTTTGGGGTTGGACACCCACTTGTGGAACGCCACGGCGTTGTCCTGTCACCACAAGTGTAATCGTTGCCACGCTGAAGCCGAACCAACAAAGCAATCTAAACAATCCGTCACTCGGCACTCCGTCGGCTCGCCATCACCATACGTGGCGACCACCATGATCACGATGTGACTCGCGGCAAAACCCTGGCAAGCTACACGTCACCCCTAGCAATCGTCACACTCGTACCGTTCTCGCTTGTTCGCCAAACTTCATGTGACAAACCTTGTGACACCTTGGATTTTGAGGAGTGCTGACCAGGTGTGCGTGTGATGCCGCGCTTTTTGCCAGCTATGCTTCCGTCGTGATATCTGTTTTTTTTTTTTTCTCCGCCCGGTTCACTGCACCGGCCGCATTGACACGACCATCTGCACCGGCCCTCAACAGCAGTAGCAGTGCCATGGGGTTCACAGAGGGGTCCACAAGAAAAGAACAGCAGATATGGAAAACATTGACGCGCGCCAATTGGTAATTCGGAAATGGGTGTTTGACGCGCAGCTTTGCTTTATTCAAAGCAGCACGAGCAACCTTACGAAAACATGGCGTGAGATTGAACAACTTCTCCGCACGTAGGCGTTGTGCTCATACGAAAACATGGAGTGAGATTGAACAACTTCTCCGCACGTAGGCGTTGTGCTCAAACTGTTTCTCGATGTCCCCGCCGATACTGTACTCCCGCTGGTTATATACGGTTGCTGATGAGATTCGGCTCTCCCTCTCTTCTGCAAAATTCAGGTTGCAATTCCTTTCACAAATCTATCCATGGGTACGTGTACCATTGGACTTCATGATGTTCTATGTGGCTGACCTGTGGTTCGAAGAATTCTCTGGCGCACCTGGCCCGCTAACCCCAGGAAAAGGTATGGCTTCCCAAGTACGCCTTAAACTTCTCATGCTTTGCACCACCAGGATGAGGAATATTAGTCTACTTTTGCTAAAGCGGCCTTTTGTTCAAATAGTTCTGGATGCTCCCGAACATCCACTACTTCCGAACACACTGCGGCGGATTCCACTCAACTCAGGCCCAGCAACAGCTGGATCGTTTACGTTCGAGTCCGCGTGCTTCGCATGTCGATATCACAGCAATACGCACGGAATCCCTACGTTACGTGCAGAGAAGTTGTTGAATCTGGCGCACATGAAAGTAGACAAAGTATTCTGCAGAGAAATTTCGCACATGCAAGGAGAGTCCTTTAACACATGCTGTGCGTTTCCTATGGCGGAAATGGTTGTTGTGGACGCTGCAACCCAGCCACGGATTGAACAGATGCTGCGTCATCTCCCTGAAAACGATGTCGGCAAGGCCTCCGGAGTGAACGTCTGCAAATCCCGAACCTGCACACAACGGTTCGCTGCAGCACGCACCTTTGGTTGGAACAAGCACTCAACTCCATGCGTTCATTGTCCACATGGCCTCGGCTTTGATTCCATGCTTTTCGGCCTGTTTCACGCCAAGTCAGAACCATTGAGTTGGCATATTCATCCAAACATTTCTTAACTGTAGTCAACGGATTAGACGAGCTCCCATCACAACAAAAACATCGTGTCCGAACCTCTTCTTGCAAGTCCTCGCTGAAGCTTTCCGCTGTGCCTGATTGGGATCCTGGGACGCGTAACATGCACACGGCTGTTCGATGTTGCCACCACTGACGCAGAATTTCCCAAGGCCACTGCCAAAATAAATGTGCACGTCAGCCATGGTGCAGCCATGCACGTTCTATACACGAGAGCCAAGAAGCTGCAAGCACAACATACGACGGTAAAGCATGCTGAACTGCAAGTGCGATAGGGGGGCCCGCAAAAAGAAAATCCAATATTTTTCAACGGCTTTCGTCCCACCTCCTTACCGAAAATAATGACACAAATCTCGCAACCCTGTGCACAAGTCATACAACTCTCCCAGGAACAGCCTTCAATGTTATGTTTGCTCAACACCATCAGTTGAAAAACTATACCACCTCTGATGCGTTGAAAGTTCGCACATGGTTTGTTGTAGTTGTCAGCGCAATGTTTGATTGCCTGATTGTTCGTGCCCATGCGTCTCAACTGACTTCCTTCTGGAACAGCGTCTCGTAAAGCCTGGACAATCGTCAAGGTCTCGTGTGCTGTGACACATGGGCATGACAAGAACAATAAGTTCCCAAACCAACAGCATTATAGCACATTCTCCAGATCTTCATAACCCATCGATTCAATCGACTACTTTGTTTTCTCTTGTTGTTTTGTTTTGTTCGTGAAGCTCCGATCGGGACCAAATTTTTTTTTCCGCGCACCTTTTGCCGCCGAATCCGCCGTCCCAAACGCCTACTGGCCGGAAGGCCGACGACCTACGGAAAGCTCACCGTAGAGGGAGCCGACTGGGCACTTTGCACTTTGCACTTTGCACTTTGCACTTTGCCCGTTCGAGTCACGAAGACTACGGTCCTTTCAGGACAAGGGACAACGGTGGGTGTTACGAGCTAATTAATGTGCGAGGCCGTGTCAAACTGTACAAAATCATGTCTTGTTGACGGCCATCTTGGCAGATGAGCTACATCAGACCACGAACTACATCCAGGGAACTGTGACATTACAAACTTGTTCAACTCATCATCCCATCGCTTGGGGGGGCGACCAGGTCGTCGTCTCGGCACACTATTGAAATTGTGTTGGGTTGACGGACTCCAGGTTGCAGCGCATAATGGCCAAGCATTCTTCGCAGTCAGGTTCATTACGAACCTGTGCTGGTTAGCACGATGAACACTGGACCACGAAGGCACAGGATGTTGCCTGAGAGCAGACGATACCCGGGCATTCATGCATCGCATCGTCTCTTCCCAAGTTGCATCTGCGTCGCGACTCCATCCAACAATGCTTCGAAACATCTTTCGCTGGCATATGTCAAGCTGTTCCAGCTGTCGCGCCGTCAGTGCCAATGTAGAAAGTCCGAACAGTGCCGTAGGAGTGACCACGGCGTTGAAAAGCTTCAATCTGCCTTTGATTGACAGGTGCTTGTTCACGAATATGAATCTCAGCTTATTGAACTTTCCCCACGCTGCACTGATACGATGCGCCAGCTCTGTTCTTGATTGGCGTCGAAGGTCGCCACAAATTTTCCGTCCAAGGTACATATGTGTCTCTCCGTCACCCAAAACCTGGATCATTTCACCGCCAACGTCAATGTAAGCAACCTCTGGCGAAATGGTTGTTGTGAAAATTCGAGTTTTCGCTGCATTCAACGATAAGCCAACTGACGCCAAGTCAGCCTCCAATGACTCCAGCATGATAACAAGCTCACGCCACGACTTGGCATAAATCATTAAATCGTCGGCGAAACGCACATTAGTCAAATTCGCGGTAGAGCCGATGTCGATGCCATGGTCAAACAAATGTGCCTTCCACATCCTGATTGCGTGTTCTAGCCCAGCATTGAACAAAATAGGACTGATGACATCACCTTGCTTCACTCCGCGTCGAATTGGAAAAGCACGGCTATCAGCGACAGATCCAGTTTGTTGATAATACAAAGTCCTCAACAAAGCGATGTACTCTGTGGGAACTCCTTGCTCTTGCAATGCCTTGAATAAGCTTTCATGATGGATTTGGTCGAAAGCTTTTCGTAAATCAATGCTGGCAAACCAAACATCGCAGTCGAATTCGATCGCCTTTGCACATACACTGTCAAATACACATAACGCAACGCCAGAGCCGGGTCGAAATCCCATTTGCTCAACTGATTGCTCTTTGTCCAAAAGGGGTTGCAATCGTCTATGCACCAATTTGGACAGCACTTTGTAAATCATCTTCAGCGAAGCAACAGGCCTCCAATTTTGCACGTTGGACCTGTCTCCTTTCTTAGCCAACATTGTGAATACTGAGCCGACTGGGCGCCGGGTGCAAACTTGCACGCGGCATCACCTGCCACTGTGCGGCAGGCCGCTCGGCCCTGCTGCGTAAGCACGGTCGAGCTTTCGATCCAGCTCCAGGCTGGCAAGCGCCTGTGCGCAGTGTGAAGGAGGCAGGAGAGTTGTGATACATCGGTTTGGAAAGGCATGAGTACGAATTGTTATTTTTCGCCGGGCATTCCTGCAGGAAGAAAGGGATGAAAAACTCACCTATTCCATGTCGATATGAGCAATTGCGATGACTTCTTGAGATTGATGCGCATTCAAAATCCTTCATCCTACGGGCTCCTCGCACAATTCAGCCCAGGCCCGTAAGCCCTGTTTACCCGCAACGAGGGACACAAAAACACGAAAGCGCAAGAAGCCAGACCCAACATCCCGCGCGTCGCTTGTGGAACGACGAGGGTGAAGGAAAATAGAAAGGACACACCAGCCACTACGTCTGAGGGCGGCGCAAGACTTAAGGCCAACCCAAGAAGCAAGGACAACTTGGCAGCCGACTGGACAATGGAGAAGGTACAAAAGCAAGGGCTGGGCGAGAACACTTGCCCGCCGGCGCGCGCATCACAGAGCGTGCAACAGCCGCTCAAAACAGCCCTGCAGGAGCATAACATGGCTAAAGGCCACGTGTGGTGTCTGCCCCGTGCAGCCCATTGACCGGGAGAGAACTCGGTGGCCAACTCAGAAAGCATCGGGGTCTTCCAACCAGCACTTCTCATCCAGCCATGAGGGCCGCAGCAGCAAGGCGTGCAGCGGCCCCGGAAGCCTCGGTAGCGAGCTCAGCCCGCCTTCGCAGGGCCGCTCGGGCCCGAAAAGACCGGACGGTGGCGCACAGGTCCTGCGTGAGCTCTGCATGAAGGGTTGACGGGTCCGATCCTTCTCGCACAGCGGCCGCCCTTGCCACATGCACCAGCACCTTTGCCGCCTGAGGCTCCCACGCACCCGTGGTTTCCACAACCAACGGCACGAAGCGTACCCCCTGCTCACGACAGACTTGGGCACGAAAAGGCAACGCTCGCAGCAGGCCACTTTTAAGCATCCGCTCATCCACCAACATGTTGCCATTCTGTCCCGCAGCTGATGTCCAGGAGCTCAACATACCCCCTCGATCACGCAGCCATTGCTTACGGGAAACCAATCAGGTCGTAGAGGTTGGAAACAAATTTTTACGGCAGCTGCTCCGCAACACACCGCTGTCGGACTTTCGCCGCCAGTCTTCTGTCATCTTCTGTCGTTCCCGCTCGGTGGCACTGCCAACGTTGATGGGGACCCCCCGCTCCTCAGCGAGGCCCTCGTCGATTCCCCATCCGTCCCCCCATTGCCAGCCGCCTCCCGTGAAGGCTTGCGAGTGCCGTTGCGCTGCATTGGGACCGCCTTGACCAGCAGAAAAAGGTGCGAGGGGAAAACAAAAATGCTTGTATGTTCGTGTTATTCACATGCTTATAAACTTCCAAGCATAAAAAAACATTTGAACTTATCAAGCGCTTTCGTTTCTATCGCCGTAATATCCGTTTTCGTTTCTATTGCCGTAATATCAGTATGTCGTGTGCGATAAGCAGCGTACTTTTCTGCTGCTGACTTTTCTGCTGCTGGCATGCAAGCGGTGGAACCAGAGCAGTGACGAACTGGATAACCAGCGTGTTCGGGTTGGTGTTGCTTCTGCTCGGGGCTTGAGCTGGGGAAGAGCTGGCAGAAGCGGCATACAATGCACTCCTGTTCTCCGATGTCGGGTGGCCGAATATTTACATCGGCTCTTTTCGCAGCGACACCGTCGATCAGCGAGCTTTTAAAACCAGCCTCGGTTTTGTCGCCCTTGGCGTCCGATCGGCATGTTGAATGTTTGATGTCTCCGAACCGATCCAAATCCATGCGCTGTGCCTGGACTGTTAGTTCTTTTTCTGGGTTGCTGGTTTTTTCTTGCCATATCGTCGTGACGCAGCTGCGAAGGAGATGAGGGACGACCAACGCAGCGTGAAGGCAGAGGTGGCTGCGGCCCGGCAGGTGGCAGGGACGGCCCGCGCCCGGCAGCGAGCAAGCAAGCGGACGAAGTTAGCGGCCTCATTGCTCTAGCGCCCTCCAACTTCAAGCGCAATAACGGTGAGCCTGCAGCGGTGGGCACGGCAGAGCTTTGGGTAGTAGGTGCGCTCCTTGGCCCGCCTGGCTGTCTGGAGGGCTGCACCAGCAGTTTGGCCCCTGACCCTGCGCGGGGCACCAGCGGCGGTGAGGGGAGAGACCAGGGTGGTGTCAACCGCGACCTGGGCACCCCCCCACAGAGGCAGGCCGTTGGCGATCACCCCAATGCGCCTGTCATCCTGACGGACGGGGTCGAGATTGAGATCTCGGACGAGGACGTTGAGGGCTTCTCTGCAGACCCGGGCGGCCGCTCGCTCCAGCGGGCCAGCACGTGCGCGCAAGACGCCTGAGCGCGGACACGCAGCGCGGTGATCGCCAAAAGGGTCTTGTCTTGCTTGGCATCGGCATCTGGCAGCCGTGAGGGGCAGCGGGAGGCGGAGCCTGCGCAAGAGGAGCACGCGAAAAAGCGGCGATGCCAAGGCAAACTCAGGCAAGGTGGGGCAGGCGACGAAAACTCGCGCAGCATGCGGACCGGCTTGCGAGAGCAGCAGGGCAGCGGAGGCCGAATATGCTTCGCGTACGTGGGCACGGTGAGCGAAGTCATCGACTGCCTGGGAAGCGGGGCTCCGTCCTCATCGGGCTGGGACGGAGCTTCACCTTGAAGCAGCTGGGCCCAGTCAGGAGGCTCGAACCCGATGGCCTGCAGGGATGAGCGGGCAAGGCGCAAGGTTTCGAGGGCAGG